TGTGTGTTTTTTTTTACAAAGCATAAACAAAAAAGTCGTGATTTTTTTAATCATACTAGTAAAACAATTAGGAAACGTGTATATCCATCTTCAGAGTATAATAATGTTTCTAATGGTATTCATTATATATACACTGGTGTTCAAACTCAAGCGTATGTGTCGAGTTTGGAAGTGTGGAAATGATTGTAAAAATACATACAATGTGCTTAAACTGATAAACTGTTTATTAAAATATCTTTCACATGTCAAGCTTATATCAATAACATATTATTACTTAACAATAAGTCATTCTGGAATATACTTCCATGACAGAGTTGGTCACTTACTTGACATTTAGCTGGTCTCAAAAAACAAGAATAAAGATACAAATGAAGATATACGTTTATGTAATTGCGTCAAGAAATTTACTGCGGTTAAAAGTCCATCAGATTTAGCGTTCCGCCACCGCGAGAATTGCTTCCACTTGATCGAAAACATTTCTCCGTGATTACATTATGAGATCATTTTCCACTTGTATTACAACGACAATTAGCTTATTCAGGGTTAAGTACCATCTCAAGAAAATGCAACGGTTCCTCGGAAATGACATAGCTCTAAGAATTCAAGTCGATGCTTAATGAATTTTAAGGCGATTGACAAAATATGTATGTTATCTGAAAGTGACATTGTTTTATACTTTACAGATGCGGGTCCATCTTTGCCAGATAAACAGGATTCGACATATACAAAAGCTTTCAACTTAACTTCTCCAATTTCTAAAGTGAAACACTCTGTTAGTCGTATAAGAACTGTGGGCAACATAATAGACAGCAAACGTGGCTGGGAGGCCATAGGGTTGCTTAGAAGGAAACGTGGATTCACAACAGCTTTTTGGAAACATGAAGCATTGGACAAAGCACCAGAGCAAAACTCGGCTAACCTTAAACAAGACGAAATCGGGATAATGGAATCAGCCACTAGCAAATGGAGGTCAAATCCGATTATATCAAATAACAAACGCGGATGGGATGGCATTGATTTTCCATGGGGAAAGCGTTCTAAATATGAAGAATTAAGAAAATCAAAATGGAATGGAAGTAATGATGCATTTGAAAAACTTGCAAATAACAAGAAAAAATCTCAACAAGAATGGGAAACCGAAGACGAAACACCAATAGGAAAAGTATCGGTGGATAAACCGCGAGTCGAAAAACAGGAACTGGACAGTGTAGACGCTACAAGGAAACGAGGTTGGGATGGGATTGATTTTTTTGACAAACACAAGGATCCAAACATGAGAGGTTGGTTTGGCGGTGATTTAACCGTTGGAAAGCGTTCAGGTGACCAGAAGCAGCCCAGAAAAGGTTGGGCTAGTGTCGATTTCACTCCAGTAAACTATTCAGATGACAAAGACTTACACAAAAGAGGTTGGGATGGTATTGACTTTAACTTCGGAAAGCGCTCAAATGACCTTGCACCAAACAATAAACGTTTAGATAATGTTGATTTCTCTACTGGAAAACGTTCAGATGAAAATGAATCAAGCAAAAGAGGTTGGGATGGGGTAGATTTTCCATTTCGAACTCGCATTAACGGTGGTCATTCAAAACAGGACTGGGCTGGCATGGACGTTGTTTTGGGCGTTGGGATGGATACAGGTCGAGCAAGGCGTGTAAAACGTGGTTGGGAAGGATTAAATCTTCATTATCGTGTAATCAATGCTTATGGTCCTTCACAAAGCAGCGATTTCCAAAAGAGAGGATGGGAGGGAGTAGACACGTGTGTTTGTTGCCATAATAATCACAGGGTTTTGTGTTGTTTGGCGTGTAATACAAATAATCCACAACCAAAGCCGAGAATAACCACCAAATCGTACAAAAATATGTTCTATGTCAGGGACACAGTTTGCAAATGTTGCTATGCGACAAAGGTATCGGATTGCTGTGATCTGTGTGAGATCATGTCATAAACTGTCAATTTCAATCAGACGTTGATACTACTTTAACAATGGCCGCTGTGTTTTTGTGGATAAGGATATTGCTCCATGTTGTGTACAATTAAATAAATTATCAACAGGTTTACATCGGTCTCGGTGTACGCACGACCTTGTTGAAAGCTACATACAATAAGTGCTTGATTATATCAATCTTCATATTCGAGAACAACTGGCAGAGAAAACTTAAATGGATATGGGTAGCTCATTAAAACACTAAAAACACTGTTTTATCATTATGAATATTTGTTTTTATGATTTGCTCGTTGATTAGTATCTACAAATGTATATAAAAACAAGTTTGTTTTATCATGTAAATATAACACTTGTTTTCCAAACCAGATGATTAAAGAAATCCTTTAACGAAACTCTTTACAACACATATATTGATAGATTGTGTTCGCTCATAGAAATTCATGTATCTTCATATTTATATCATGAGCGCTTTGTCAATCTCAAACGTATTGTTTCAGGAATAAAAATCAGTCGGTCGACTGTATAGCAACAATGAAAGTTTATTTTGTTTTAAAGCAAATAATAACAGATATGCGTTTCGAAATATTTCTGTTTTCTTATGGATTCAGTGCCGTTTTGAGATTGCTTTTAAAACAAAGAGGCATTATAACATTCTGACTTTGATGCTATGTTCGTACATAAATATAAACTGTTAGTGAAATTAATGTTCCGTATTGTTGTCGATACCAAGGACTATACCTGAATGGTCCCTGATTATGCTTCAATGATATAATAAAGTGTAATTTAAAGCCAATATATTATACTTGATAATCTGTTGATTTTATCTCCATAAAATATATACATTCTGTAGTTTAAAAGTAAATTATCTCGGTTGTCAATTGCGTAGTTAACCTACCAGGTTTAAGTTGATTGATCGATGGTCTACTCACACAATGATAGAACTAAAATCCGCATCAGAACGTGACATGGTATGTGTTGAAATTCTGTATATTCGTAAAAATATCTAATCTGTGTTGGTCAGTTATAACTTTAAAAACTTGCTAAGAATGCACATTATCGCAATTAAAATGTTCATGTTGTAATCCATTAACACCAAAACATACGTTCCTGTTTCATAGTCATCATTGTTTAAAACATTATATTTACAAACACGTGTCTCGTCATTAATTTTTGGGTTTCTGATGACATTGATTATTAACCATTTTAGTCTGTCCACACTGTTGCATTGACACATGCAACATAACGTTTACATTATATTAAAATTGCTCATTTATACTTTTTTATATCTTGTATAATTATTCACAATGGTAGTAATTTTCTTTCATAGTATCATGAACAATAATTATGATGAGGAAATAATATCATGATAGACTAATGAAAATTGTGATTTCGGTTTCATTGAGTATAGCGCGCTGCAATGTAAAGAACGCCATATTTATTTAGTTGATCCATTTGGCCTGTGGATAGAAATCGATGTTTTTATAAAATGGTATTAGTGCAAGAAAATATTACAAATCCCCCATTCCTTGTATTGTGATGCATTGTATCAAAACAAAATTAAACGGCTTTAGTAAATTATTACCACTTTTACAAAATGTACCATGGGACTTCGTCTTACAAACAAATATGTCGATCATATCTTTTCCAAATTTGGAAAATATATTTGCGAATATATTATTATTTGCACTCACTGAAAATCGCAGATTCATTGCTTCGTCAGAATGAGCACGCCGCATGCATCATTACAAAGCAAAATGGGTAAGTGACATTCTGCTGACCAGTCCTAGCTGACCGGAATGCCTTATTTGTCTGGGGAAATCTGCACGTCCGATTATGATTAATAACCATATATTGTACGGCAACTTGGGACATTTCTCTATACATATGGATGTAGTTTTCTTAACAACATGGTATGGGTGTAATAAATTCTGCCTCATTTCGCGATAAATTCGAATGGACGAACATTTTAGCAATCCAAATTTACATGTGAAATATATTTGCGAGATAAGAGAGTACTACTTTAAAAAATGCCCACAGCGAATACATTGTACGGTGAAATGCGACTTCTGACATGTATAATTGTATTTTATAATAATTCCACAATCACTCATCCTACAGCTGAACATATCAACATTCTGATTCATTGTCGAACACGATCGATCCATGAATATGCAGCTCTCCGTAAAACGCACCTACAGTGAACATTTAGACAAATGAAAAAACATATCCCCATAAATTAACGGAAAATATCTAAATATCACATCCTTTTCCTCAAGCATAGAGAGTGACATGTGTCGCGAACACCAGTAGCCATTTTTGGACTTGGATCTCACAAACGCAAGAAGAAGAAAAGACCGAAACGTTGTTTAAATCTTTATCAAACTTAAAACGGATGAAAAGACGGCACAACATGAACAAAAGACATTTTACAAATAGACCAGTGAATAGCTTGTCTTGTCCTTGATACCCAATAGTCAATGGATTTCATATTACTTAATCCGTTAAACCAGATGTATTCAGACAGTGAGATTACTGTAGGTATACTAAACTTTGTTTAAGATTTTACCAAATATAGCAGTGAAACGTGATACAGATTTGGTAGAAAGTAGATGAGCCAGCGATTGGGTGTTAAATCTTATGAAGATGAGGAATTTAGTTTATATTTAACTGGTTATATGAATGATAACAGAGCTATTAGTTCGAGTTTGGAAAGACAGGATAGTGTGTTGGTAAAATTTCCACAATAACAGTGTAATACTTAAAACGTGTTGCTCACTTATACAGGATAGAAATTTATAAAACGTTTCTGTGAAGTGTCAAAGAGTCCAAAACGTTTATTTGTTCGATGACGTGAGACAAAATATTCTACAGTTATATATAAATATACAAAGCTATCTACAAAGAACTCGACAGTTGAACAAATTATAAGCTCAGTCTCGAATTCAAAAGTATATACACGTTTACGAAATGGACAAAGACACTTTTAATAAAAAAGACTTTAAAGCAAAGGCAAGATTTTTTGTTTTTCCATCGAAACATCATTCCAAGCGTTTTACTTGTTTCTCGTGGACAATGATTCTTTGAGAGATGAATCGGCCCTATGGTTGTCATCCGCAACGGGAGTCATTTCTACTCTGAAATATGTACAAATTTTAAATCATGAGTTTGTTTGACTTTAATTTTACATACAAAACACATTATATGATTATTTTCTGTCATAATATTTGGATTCACATGTACATATAGGCGTTAAATGAGTTTTTACTTCATACAATAAGCTTTTATCAAACTCATCTTATCCTACATATGTAAAGATTGTTTGTTTGCACTCTTGCCAGATACGAAAAAGGTGAAATATAGAAAACAGCAATAGAGATCATAGACAAAATGAAACGAAGAACATGCGACAAGCATCGACACTATGTCTGCAAACACTGGTATAAGTATTACCCAAAATATTAACAATTAAGAAATGTAACATAGAGTGGTGACATTTTAAAGTTTTGTATACTTACGGAGGAGCGATGTATTTGGGTTTTGAAGCTGTCATTCCTTTACCACCATCGAACAGTTCATATGTACTCTTAATTTCCCTCTTGTTTTTATCGCCTCTGTTAAAAAAAACATCGACAAATCAACATTTCCTTAACTTCTATTGAGAGTACATTACACCTGTCACAAGGTCAGTACACGCAACACATTATGGTCACTTGTCAAAATACGGGAAAATGTCAGGTAGTGAAACAAAGAAAATCAGATTGCTTTGTTCCAATATACCGAAGGAATTCATGGGCCACTTTTGACCTCTGGCAATTTTCTTACTGGAAACCAATTGTACGTCTCTTGACAAACACCACACGACGGACGCACGTCTCTGTAAATCACAAGTACTAACATTTAGAAACACTGTCTATCTTTCTAGAAACATTAGATCAATTATGTCTGGAAGGTTTATCGACGTAAAAAATGGTTACAATCTCATTATGTATATTATTATTGTGTCAACAAGTCAAGAGAAAATCTATTAAATGGATCATAAATAGTTTGAATGAACGCTTGAGTTTTTGTCATACGTGTTGTTTGTTTTTTCTTGATATTACCAAATACTATATATCCAATTTTATTGCACGCGGCACACTTTAAAGGTTAAAGCTACCATCAAGCTCAATTTCAAGAATTAGAAGTAAATGAATCCAGACTTTTACAATGGTATTAATGGTAGGTAATAGTTGTCTCTTTGTTTTCCCCATCACAATTCTAGTGACGTCTGTAGCTATTTTACTCGCGTGATATTAATATAGATGATTCCCTTTTTTATTTTAGTTATCGCAGAATAATACAGAAATATCATACCAGCAACTCAGCCCGCGAGTTGTTTTACGACTACTAACATTACAGAATATCTAAATGTCTTTAGAATTTGTCTCATAGCTATGATTCTTTTATAATAATTGGAAGTATCAGTTAATCCTTTTATTTACGATTCCGAATATAGAATTGTAGGAGAACCAGTAGATCGGATACCTGATTTTCCTCCAAAGCAGTATAGATACAACGCAAACAACTCCGAATCCGATAGAAAGTCCAATTGGAACACCATACTTCCAGGCGGGAACTGCACCTTAAAAAAAACACGAAACGATCCTTTCAATACACTGAGTTAAATATGTAGGTTTCCTTTTTATATCTTCTTATCGAAAAAAGCATTTCATGTGATTTAATTACTTTGTTTGGAAAAAAGGTTGGTCTCTTTGCACATATCAGAACTTTTCTAATGTAATGAGCAATCAACTAGTCCAGTAATAACAAAAGGTCATTAAGCTATGTATTCTAAACTTATAAAAGTCATTTGACACATTTTTCTTAACCTACCTGTATCAGATGGGATATTCACAGCCACTGAAAATGAACAAACATATTTCAGATCAATAATCAAATTGGCAAGCTTCGTGTTTGACAACTTAATAATTCCCCCTCGGGTTGAGATCCCCCTGTCTCACCCAAAAGGGGATGAAAGATTCAATTAATCCATAGAGGTTTAATTCCTAACTGTATTTCAAAATTCGTTAGAATTAAAAAACGTTAAAAACTGATAATAATCTTTTAGAAATCCCGTTAAAAACATGATTAATAACAAATTGAAATATCAGAGCGTTACAAAGTTAAAATCACCATTGCAGTCCTCAACATCGACAGAAGCGCGCCCTTCGGTGGTGTACCCAACGGGACAATTAATACATAATGTCTGACCAATCTGGTTTTGATATGTGCCCAATGCACATTTCTCACATTCATCTCCGCTGTTGAATCTACCGCGACTACAGGGTACTGAAACATTACACAAATAATGAAAACATTGATGCAAACGTATCACATAATTATATATCAACCATATAACTATTCAGATTTATTTTTTGTATTTGTAGCTTCTATTTCTATTCGATTGTCTTTTTAAGACTTTTTAAAATCTAGCTCAATATTTTGTTTTGTGGGTGTTGACTTTGGTGTAAGTTTTTTTTTCATTCTCAAAACAAAATACTTTCATATACATATATGTTTACGTACGCATATTCTACACAGTCAATAACACCAGAATTTCACTTGGACATTATACAATACTAAATACGCTTTTTTTTTTTTTTTTTTTAGATATTTCGCCGCTCTAATACACTTAATATGACTTAATTTTTACCACGCTTATTTCTCACATCTTCTGTTATTGACTAAGAATAAAATATTACTAACGGTTTAACTTAGTGGGCGTCAGGTTACAAACGGTATACATTTTACTTTACATTATCTAGTATGTGAGGGTATACCAAACCTCCATTAATCCCCAGCAGTCTAGTAATAATGCATTGTAAGACTTACCACAGTAGTGTTGCACTGGGACCATGCCGGCTTTGCAGTAAGATCGACCCCCAAACATTGAACTGTTTTCCATGATAGAGTATTCTAAACCATCCACAAGTGTGTTGAATGCATTGCCCTCTATTTTGGCGAGCATCTCGTTTAGTACTTCTGTTACAACGTCTCTGCAGCCATCGGATGTAACTATCGGTATGTTAAGATCATTATTAACCATATTCCTTACATGTTGCAGCAAAGATTTCTAAACGCAATGTATAAATGGTCACCAGTGACAATTCAAAGGTTTTATTTCATCATCTTTAACTCAATGACATCAATGCTAAATCGAGAAAAAAGACAATGATATATAAGATAAAAGGTGTCCAAAAAGTAACCAAATAAAGCACTATTACATAGAGAGATGATCTCAATATCATATTATTTCCCGCTTTTTCACATTTATAACAGAGATAGTATATATAGCGTCCTTAGAAGACCACCGTACCACTACCATCGTTTAGGAATGAAACTATTAAAAGCCTGACATTTGTCTCAGTAATTATTTTTCTGATACTTGAAATTTACTTATTCTACTTTTGATGTTCAAACATCTAGAAGGAATGCAATAGCTCACACTTCTGTGAATCGCAAGTGAAATCTGCAGCGAATCCAGCTGTTGTAGGGCTCGCTGACCGCTTAAATCTATCTCCTGAACAGCCTGTCACTTGTATATCTGTAAGGGAGCACGACCCGTGTCTTTTGCATTTCAGTGATTCAACGCCCTCGTACACTGCCTTTTTAATTTTCCTTTCTACGATGTCGGCTTTAGGGTCAGAATCACACACCAGATCAATATATGATGCCATATATTTCCAATTCAGCGTGTTTCCATCCACCTTTCCTTAAAAAGCAAATCACGTTGATCTTCATAATGTTATGTATATGATGGCATGATAATTCAAAACCTCTTATTTGGCCCATATGTATATGTCATCAGTATATTCTATAAGCAGCACAACTATGTTTTCGCTATGAGTTGAACGGAAATCAATCTTTGCAGATTCATACGCAGAATTTAAATTTAAAAGTGCTAGATCACCACTAAGATACAACATCGTAACGTAATGGTAAATAACACACCTTTAGCGGCATATGGTTTAATCGCTAAGTTGTTCAATGATTCGATATGACATTCGTCTGTAGGTTTGTGTTTAGCCAGAAGATTGTAATCTTTCCACAAATACAAAGTAACATAGACAAATCAGATCAACTGTTAAAAGTCTGCACGTGTATAATTTTTCTCCGGAAAAAACAAATGATATTTGCTATAATCCATAGCTTACTTTTAATCGTAGGACATACTTTATATATATAGGGAGGAAATACAATGCACAATTAATATAAACGTACTGGTGCAATCAGGAAGCCTTCCGTAAGGGTTGTCGTCGGTTTGGAAGTCCCAAAGATGGAAGGTATCCGGTCCACAACGATAAATTTCTTTGGCAGCGTGATCGAAATCATAGCCGTTTTCACATGACAATGAGCAAGTGACAGCATCTTCAGAGGTAGTCCACTGGCAATCGAGGGCAGCGTGGGCGGGTGTAGTCAAATTTGTACAAGCTACATAGATATTTATTAGATAATTATTATATACATTTGATAATTTGATTGCAGTTATCATAAGATATAACTCATATCCTCTTCGATCTTGATCTTGTTTTACGATTTGTTTTCTAATGCAATGAAGAAGATATAAGAATGTGAAACATTATTGTGTATTGCAGTTAAGACTGCTGGTGTTTTGTTAATGTTTTCCATTTTTTATCAATGAAAAGTACTTCTGCTGTTGCAGTTTGTGTTCTGTTATGTTAAATAAACAACTGTCTCAATGTAATTAGAAATAACCTCGCTGGATAACGTTAAATGAATTTACCTGTGCACTGTTCTAACATACACGTGTCTTGGTCGAAAGTGTCACCAGGGCAATCTTTTCCACCATTATCTGGAGTGGGACTGTTACACAGCCTTATCCTGGTCATTATCCCCTCCCCACAGGTGGTAGAACACGTAGACCAGTTACTCCATGTGCTCCATTTACCATCGACTGTTGAATATGGTAAGTTCAAACATAGTTTAAGCCACTTCACTTAAGCTTTCGTAATTTAAGAAAAGTCTTCACAGAAATAAAAACTTTTTTTTCGCATTTTCATCGACAATTTAAAAAGTCTAGTTTTCGTCACATCATGTTGAATCAAAACATTGTATCTATCGTTTATGACAAACTTCTAGAGATTAAAGTCATTTCAAGTTTTGATATGATAAAACAATGATTCATACCAACTGCTATTTCACAGAGTTCTCCCTTGAAGTTGACATCACAATGACATGTGTAACGCCCAACACCATCAATACATGTGGAGTTATTCTCACATACATTGTCTACACAGTCGTCAATGTTAAATTCGCAGTTATCTCCCTTTAGACCGAACGGACAGTCACAACTATAGGTATGCAGACCGTCTACACACACACCTTCATTGCATGCGTCACGGGTACAGTCGTCATGATCTAATAAAATGAAGTGATTAAAAAATAATTAAGGTCTTATTTCAGTTAAAATATTTCCCCTTTATTCTGTTGCAGGTAACACCATAAGGATGAAATAACTCAAATACTTATTGACACAGAGAAATATGTTAGATACTTTATATTCCTAAATGAAGTTATTGTATTTTTAGCTATTTAGATAGAAAAGCGTCATGTTTATTCCGTATATTATCCTACTTTATTAACGTCGATTTCATTAAAGATTAAAGAAACTATTCGAATACATCACCGTCACATTCGCTAGGTATTTGTAAAAATACGTGATCATTATCAACTGATTCAAATTGTTTCCATCCGAGAATATCCCCTTGTGTACGACTGTGACAATACGAACTCTCTTTCACTATGTCACCAATGGTGTATCTATGGGACCATATATTTAGTTGGGATATGCTGCCCATAAAATCACCACCTGTATTATAACAGAAAAAAATACTTTATTGTTATGATCCTTTCTGTTAAACGCTGGTTCTTCTTTCCGAGAATAGAATCTCAGCAATATCATTTTGTTGATACATTCAAGGAATTAAAATGTTTGCTGTCGTCTTGATATGTAAAATCGATATTGCGATTGACATTTAGAAATAAATACGACCATTTGTATTATTTATCTATGAAAACATGTTAATATATTAATTCCAACAATGAAAAAAGCATCAGATAAATAAAGATTCACATATCACCTTGGGAATATATACACTATTAAGTATGATGTTTATGTAAAAAAGCATACCAGCAATGATAATGCTTGGGTCCGCGTTGCTGGAATGAGTTGCTTGGTTGTGTGCATTTTGTTGAGGGATTATTAGCTCGGAGTCCAGAAATATATCTACACACGAGTTATTGACATTAATTGCCAAAGAGTGCCACTTTGTGTCATTCACACTCAAATCTGAAGTCGCTTGAAATCTGAAAAACACACACACGTTTGTCATAATAATGTGCTTGTGTATTTTATTCTTAACGAATTCATCTTAGATATCTTTGTTTGACAATGTAAATGTTATTGAATTTCTTCGCATGCGATGAAATATTACTTATTGCTGCTTACAAATATCATGCAACAAGGCGACGGCAAATATAATTTAAAAGATCAGATTTACAACGAGCGATGTGTTTTTTGTTGATTTGTAAAGGCATTTATCATTTTTGTGTCCCAGAAGAGACATGAAATAGAGAAACCTTTACTGGTAATTTTTTCAACCACATTATATGCATATGTAACTGTTAATGGTTTCTAATATCGTTCCTTTTATATTGATTGTGAATCAAAGCCGCGTTTCTCCTAAAACTGAGATCTCCATTCACCGATATCATCATTCCCACCGTGTTTCCTCGAATTGGAAAATACTTCTGTACAGAAAATCTGCATTTCAGTTTTGGAGACTTACCCAAAGCCTGTGAACATAAAACTACTTCCGTTTAAGCCGATGTCAAATTCTTTGTCCGGATACAAGATTCTGATCACGGAACTCAAGTTCCTATTATCTTGCAACTTCATCCAAAAACTGACGATGAAACTCTCACTTCGAATCAAACTAGAGTTTAATGGAAGTACGACATTTCCAATTTTGCTGGAAATTATCAAGTCAAACTCTGAAAACAGAATTGATCTTAAGTGCAAAATGAGTTGGTCGACAATCGCTAAATACGAAACATGTGTTGTCATTTTCAAGATTTGGAACAATAGTTATCTGTATTACAATATGTAAATATTCAATTTCATACATTCTTTAAAGTGTTGATATTGTTTCATAGCTTGTTTAGTGATAGTATAGTTTCTCAACTTAGGCATACATTGCAACATGGTTTATTTATTTTTTCTGACCTTTACAGCTAGTCTCAGAGGTTTCGCCTTCGTGAATGGTGGTACGTGATCCAGAACAGGAAGAACATTGCATGGAACCATACACGTTGGTGTATCTTCCAATCTCACACAAGGAGCAGGGTGGTAATCCATTTTTGGAATACGTCCCAGGTGCGCATGCCACTGAAAGTTTTATAGCAAATATTCTCTTAACACTCGCGTAGCTTTACCAGTTAACGGGCATATTTTCATAGTATAACCATCAAAGCCATATAATTTAAGAAAACCTAAACTATTGTGTATTAACTACCTTCACATTCAGTTTTGGATTGTGCCCCTTTACGGCGTGTGCTTCTCCCGTTTGGACATTGAATACAGTCCAGTTGCGCTGATGATGGTTGATATTGACCAGCTGGACACAAAGGGCACACTTGTGCTTTCGTATCATAGAACGTTCCAGGTGGACATTCGACTGAAATAGTGTTACATTACAAAATTATTTAAAAGCATTGTTTTTAATTAGATCGGAAAGCTTTTCAGGACCTGTTTGTTTAGTGATACTAGAATGGCGCGTGCTGCACGTGATAGACTCGGCGACTTATCGTAGTTATTGTGTTAAAATCACTCTTTCGTGATTCATAACACGTTTTGATTGAGAGGATAGTATAGAATTACTTTAGTCTGATTCTATCTGGAGAAGTTTTATTACATGAATCAGTTATATCTTTAAGTGTAATATACTTTTACACGAAGTTCTATATTCTATAAGCGTAATGACTACTTCATTGTTTTTTTTTTTTGTTTTTTTGTTTGTTTTTTGTTTTTGTTTTTTCATTTAAATACACATATGACAAAGCATCGTTATACTTACTACATGATTCACTGGTATACGATGGAATAGTTCGTCCGTCACAAACTATCCGTAATCCGTTGTTGTGAACCTCTTGAACAATTAGAGTAACATTGTCACCCATGTGTATATCAAAGGTTGCTTTTTCATCACTGACATTGCCCAACCATGTCTTCATCTTTTCGTTTAATTTGGCGAATGACCTATTACCAAATGCGGTCCTGCTGCTGATTTCCAATTCAAATCCAATGCTTATACTCGCTGATCGTTTACCTGCATGGGAGCCACATTTTACCTGCGAAACAAATATTGTCACTCTATTTTAATATCTTATCGGAATTAACATATCGGCATACGACACTGATATCGATTTAACAGACCTAACTCTCCATCATTATCCAAGACAATATACATTTTCGTTAATTTTTGTTCTTTTTCAGATCCATTTTAAAAAATCAAAACAACCGACATGACAACTTCTCCATCCTTCACATGTATTTCATTAAAAAAATATTTTTGTATAAATATGATACATGACGTGTTTTCATATTGTTGAGCAAATTATGATCACCTCAACATTTCGTGGAAAGCAGCTCTCTTCATTGGTTTTGCAAGCATCCATGTAGGCTGACTGTGACAGAGCCTGAACAAACTTCTGTCTGATGCTATCTGCAACCGTAGCATTTCTGCAGTCTCCGTCAAAATAGTAATCCACACTTATCCCAGCGATGGCATGGTGACTTGAATGAGTTCCTTTAAAATAAGATGACACAGGATTAAGTCATAATTTTATCACGCATGTGGCTAGAAAAGTGATGATTGATTGTATTAAATTCATTGAAATGTTCTCGGCTTTTCTACAAAAGGCACATTTTCAGACATTGACAATTAGTAAATCTATGGAGATTTAGTAACGAATTGTTGACATGATTGATCATTAGGATATATAATTTTGAAAAAGAAAAAGAAATTATTTTATTTCTTGTGTTAAAATATAACTGGTGTGATTGGGTTTGATTCTAATCCCTCGGGGAACCTGGCGGATGATCCCAAGCCATTGCTTAATGACATTTTGTGTGGATACATTAATATTAGCCGTCAAAGTTACAATTCTGTGAAAGCAAGCGTCTATATGGAATGATAAAACTGACGTGATCAGCACATTAAGAAAATACAAAATGCCGACAAATCAGCAATGTCTTGCACGGAATGTCTCGATCAGCACAGGCTAACACTAAAAATAATGTCAATTACTACATATGTATTTTAATTTGTGTCTGTTCAAAACAAGTAAGTGAAGTCTAATAAAGCTTTTAGATATATGTCGTGGCTAAACTTACTTACGTGTAGCCAATACATGTCATGTTTATGATGTGCTTGCGTTTTTATGATATCGATATATCAAAGACATTTCTTTGAGAAAATGGTGACATTATTTCTGACTCTTTAATCCTCATTTGCTTTGTTCGGAGTCGATTGCGGTGTTCTGTCTGTTCAGTCGCGTTCATCTTTTGAAAAATGTAATCTTAAGATTTGATAACGTGAATAACTGGTAATTCAATTGACAACCTGAGACACATTGTATTATTATATTGATAATTATGACGTAAACTTGGCATTTCAACATACGCGCACAGTTAGGTAATTTTGAATCCGGTGTCCATGAACCAGATTCTCCACAAACATACATTTCCCGAAACAAATACCCTGCTGGTACATCGTAGCCATTTCTGCATAACATCTGACAAAATTTTCCACCCAACCAGTAATCACAAGCGACAGCGCCATGTGAAGGCGGTTCGAGTCGGTCCTCACATAAATGTTGCGCTTCAAAAACAAGAGAAAGACATCCACTCAATTATTCAATTAGGTGTAATTATAAGTGCTATATAAATGTTATACAGTGAATTATATATATGAAATTCTATATGTAATAAAATGAAAATCGTGAATCTTATATGGACACTTTTTTTGATTATTTATGATTTAACAATTTTGCTCAAGAACAAAAAAAAAATCATTAACCTTCACAAAATGGTTGGTGAGAACCCCGTTTCCAGGTAACATATTGTCCATTGCCTTCCTTCTCACACATAGCCTGACTCAATCCATTGATTACCGACCCGTTCGCACATGAAAATTTACATTCTGCTCCAAACTTGCTTCCTCCTTCACAAATTACGGTTTGTAGAGGAAGACTGTAAACTTTCGGACATCTCAGTACTTGATTAAAAAAAGAAACATCTTAAATCATTCTTTCCAAAATCGGTCATTTCAGCATTCTTTCCTTTCTTTGTTTTTATTATGATAAAGCAATATTCTGTTTATAATACATATTCTTGTGCTTTGCAGTATCTTACAGTATATAATTGTGCTGGGTAGATTATAGACATATCCTAATACATAGTTATAATGCTATTCAATACACGGGTGATTTCTCTTATCAACAATTTTAGTCTGAGAAATGGCGATTAAAATGGTCGTTTTCTGAATCTCTGTGACTTTTTTACTGGTGCCTTGTTAACGGTATCTTTGTAACGTAATACTGGGATCTTGTTTTGATTTTTTGTTGTATCTCTCTGTCTTTTTAATGTGAGATTCTGTTGATTTTTTACTGAGGATCTCTGTCTCTTTAATGGGAGATTATGTTGATTTTTTACTGAAGATCTCTGTCTCTTTAATGGGAGATTATGTTGATTTTTTACTGAAGATCTCTGTCTTTTTAATGGGAGATTCTGTTGATTTTTTACTGAGGATCTCTGTCTTTTTAATGTGAGATTATGTTGATTTTTTACTGAAGATCTCTCTGTATTTTTAATGGGAGATTCTGTTGATTTTTTACTGTATCTCTGTCTTTTTAATGGGAGATTCTGTTGATTTTTTACTGAAGATCTCTGTCTTTTTAATGGGAGATTATGTTGATTTTCTTACTGGATCTCTCTGTCTTTTTAATGTGAGATTATGTTGATTTTTTTACTGAAGATCTCTCTGTCTTTTTAATGGGAGATTATGTTGATTTTTTACTGAAGATCTCTGTCTTTTTAATGGGAGATTATGTTGATTGTTTACTGAAGATCTCTGTCTTTTTAATGGGAGATTCTGTTCATTTTTTACTGAAGATCTCTGTCTTTTTAATGGGAGATTATGTTGATTTTCTTACTGGATCTCTCTGTCTTTTTAATGTGAGATTATGTTGATTTTTTTACTGAAGATCTCTCTGTCTTTTTAATGGGAGATTATGTTGATTTTTTACTGAAGATCTCTGTCTTTTTAATGGGAGATTTTGTTGATTATTTTACTGGTTTTTTAACTCTAACAAATGGTAAAATTATTTGATTTGTTTAATTACACATATATGTATATGAAATATAACATTGACCTTTTATTAGCTTGTGCATATAGCAATGATTTAAAATCTAAACTCGTGATATTTTGTTACGACACGTCTTAGCGTTGGCATTTGTTTATCATCTTGTGTGACAAAGAATTCCCAACTAATTTATCTCTAAGTGTCTTTAAAAACACGTAAAAAAAACTTAAATCAATTCAAAGATAGCGCACCTTTCATCACTATTTTCATTTTACACTGGAACGCTTTGTTTCCTGATGAATCAGTGGCATCAAAGGTGACATCGTACGTTCCTGCCGTCAAGTTGTTATAGAAACTGTCCGGTCCAGCCGTTTGCATTAGTCTTATAGCCTTGTCAGCATTGTCATACACAGATGGTATAAAATTGTCCCATACGAACCGTCCACTGACACTTCCACGGTCAGCAAATCCGTATATAGCACCGGTACAGTTAGTTATAACTGGTGGTAAGATATCTGAAAAAAAAACCCAATATATGTCTGTTCTGTGTACCAATGTATATCTGTTCGGTGTACCAATGTATGTCTGTCCTGTGTACCAATGTATGTCTGTTCTGTGTACTAATGTATGTCTGTTCTATGTTCCAATGTATGTCTGTCCTGTGTACCAATGTATGTCTGTTCTGTGTACCAATGTATGGCTGTTCTGTATACCAATGTATGTCTGTTCTGTGTACCAATGTATGTCTGTTCTGTATATGAATTTATGTCTGTTCTGTGTACCAATGTATATCTGTTCGGTGTACCAATGTATGTCTGTTCTGTGTACCAAGGTATGTCTGTTCTGTGTACCAATGTATGTCTGTTCTGTATACCACTGTATGTCTGTCCTGTATACCAATGTATGTCTGTTCTATGTTCCAATGTATGTCTGTCCTGTGTAAAATGTATGTCTGTCCTGTGTACCAATGTATGTCTGTTCTGTGTACCAATGTATGTCTGTTCTGTGAAGAATGTCTAAGAATGTGAAGTAATCATAAAATTATATTTAATTCTGAAAGAAACATACAATTCAGTTACTTCGCCATTATTTAAAATTCAAATTAGGTAGATCTGGGTTCATTACCAGTGCACGTCGGTATTTTTCCTCTCCATTCTCCATTTGACGCACACACGCGAACTCGGGACATTCCGGGACTAATATCGAATCCTTCACGACAGCTATAGGAACACTTGCTCCGGAAGTTGTTTTTGTCAGAACAGCTTAATTTCATATCCTGTGGTGGAGCCAACGTGTCACAGGTCACGGCTTTAATAGAAGGATGACATGGTCTGTTTTCTAAAATTCTATATTCTGATTTTTTTTCGAACCAACGTTGTAAATTGTCAGTTAAAAACGAAATTTTTCGTTTTTGTAACCTTATTATTATATAATATCTTAACTGTATGCGAAAATAAGTGCAGTTGATATACAAAAATAAATAAGATTAGATAAAATAAACAAGTTTATATATATATATATATATACATATATATATATTATGTAGCCATTAAAGTACAATGGTGATTATGTTTTGGTGTATTATGTGTCGTCACACCAACTACGCGTGTTCAAGATTACACTTAATAAGAAATTAACTTATTCTACCGTAACCATGGTAAATGCATAGACAAAACATTTAAATAAAAATAATCAAAGAAGATAACAGAAACAGATTATAATACAGGAATACTCAATCTCGCATGATCAAGACAAAAAATTTTTCAATATTTTTGTTTCTTGCTTTGTATCTTATTGTCGTTTTTTTCTAAGTACATTGAAATCTTTACACGTCAGTTTCGGACATGAAGATACGAATTTACAACGTATATCGTAAAAACCGTAATGTATGCATTTATTTTTAGTAGTTCAATACTTTTTGTTTCTCCATCAAAGTACTGCTTCGTTTTTTAACGATTGAAAAACGAAGTCAACACATATCAGAAGAGAGGAAACTCTGTTTGAGCTCCGATCAAGACTTCAAGGCTAGATGCTCTTATAAATGCTGCATTAGAATAGTGATTATCCAAATTGGTAACAATTTGTTTTTCTTATATATATTTATATCATGTACATTATTTTTGTTAATGTAATATGTTATTTTAAGTTATAAGTTGTGCGTTATTAAAAACAGTTTTTTTTATTTGTTTAATTTGTTTTACTTTTGTTTCTTTTTTATGTACTTGTGTATTTAAACATATTATCAATAATTTATACTGTGCTAGGAAATGATTGTTATTGTAATTGCGTCTAGGTCAGGAAAGTGCTTATTATTCACTATTTGATAGGAAATATGAACACGTAAGGCTAAAAATGTGTGTTTAGATGTGTGTATATGTATTTCTTATTAATACTTAATAATATGAGAAGTGTGTGAGGACACATTTGTAATGTTATGCATATCTTATCTTAGTAAATAAAATGTTTGCAGTGAAAAAACACAAATTGTTAATTGATTCGGAAAGCAAATATTCCCGGTGATGTATTGGTCAGTCACAAGACAGATGTGAATACGTACGTATACAAACTGGCTGCTGCCCAGTCCAAGTTGCAGACTCCATACACTTAATAGAACTATCCCCTACGATCCTATGACCCTCATAACAACCAAAATTACACTGTGTCCCTTTCCGCATCTCAAAGCTTGTATGGCACATATACCAACCGTTCTTCAGTACTGAGACACCAGGGCATATTGGAACTGAATGAAAAAAAAGTTTTAAAATGCAACAACATATTGTTCTTTTGAACTATTGTTCTATTGATGATTTTTCGAAATGTTAGATTTCAGAAAGTGATTTAAAAACAAAAATTCGATATGTTGAAGCACTTCTTTTTCTGATACATGCGTCAGAATATGAGTAACAGGATTTAATTCATTTTCACATATTATTATTATCTTTTCCTATATAACATATATTTTTGTTATTTTCGCGGCAACGTTTTTTTTCTTTGAAGAAATGTTCGTCTTTCATTGAAATGTTAAAGCATGATAATTTTATTTTATGATCACAATTAAACTCTGTACTTGATATAATGAATATATAATGAAGAAAAAAATAGAAAATTAAATTCCTTTTTTGACCATCTCCTTAACTTTTAACTTTTCCGAAGACTTTATGCATGGATAGAGAAATTTTCGAAGATGTTTTTCACGATCATCGCCCCTTAGAGCTAGTTTGTCTTTTTCCATGATCAAGAAACAAATTGAAATATTGTTTTCGGATGATCGAAATCAGGGAAGATGGAACACAATGTCGGAATTAATGATTTCCAAATATGTGATTAGTGCTAAATCAGACTGAATCTACACAAGACTTTCAGAGTTATAATCAAGTTAATCGTTATCAACGAATAAACGTTGAAATTGAAATAACCGAATCACTCCGTCTAATATGTAATCACAAATGTAGACCTAAAGTGAAATTTCTTTAAAATGTCATAGAAATCGCTCCTTTTATCTCTCTAAAATTATAGAAGTATATCTTAAAACATTTATTGTGGAATTTGAATATTACTGAAAATAGAACAATTATAAGATTTTCCATATTTGGAAATAATGCTTTAGTTTCATAACATATATCGTGCTTAAATTTTGTTTTCATCCATTTACCTATAAATGCACACCAATGGGTTTACATACCTGACAATTATATCTAGTATTGTCAATAATATTAGGGATTTTTTCAATTGTCAGTCATCACTAATATGATGATGTAACAATAGTGATTATTCACTTTAAAACTACACTTAATATGGTATAGCACAATCAAAGAAATAACAATCGTTACATGATAAATGTTCAGCAAAGGATAGATAATTAGTTAATATGGACATTTAGTAAAAAGCACCTGTTATGATAATTAAGAATGAACAAGTTCCCATGTTTCCGCTGCTGTCTCTTGCAGAGTAGCTTATTTTCGTAACGCCCTTTGAAAATTGTAGCCCTGGTGCTAAGCCATGACGGGTTGCCCTGCGAAACAAAATAGTTGTTTCAAATGAAGGAAACTCTAATCATTACTTATCATACTTATAAGTACTATCATAACAATCCTGCTTTATTCATGTTAGATGTATTTTACATAATACAAATTGAAATATCAAACACTAATGAACTAGAATGAGAATAAAAAATCTTCGGCAAACATTGGAAGATATGAAACACCTTTTACCAATACAATTAAATGTATAATGAACTGTTGTTCATGCAGTTTGTTATCAAAACAATTTGAGCTGTCTGGTTCTGATTGGATGAACTTCAAGTTGTCCCCATGTCTACCTTATTGTCTCAATCTTGTTCATGCCAGTAGCTAAATATTTGTCAGAAATTCCAACTTGTTTTTGATTAATTGAGTATTATTTGAAAGACATATTCAATATTCAATACTTGAAATTGCATTATCAACGTCTCTACAAACGCGAGACAAAATATGTGACATCCGTACATATAACGATATCTTGTGAAATGGTTTTATGTGACAAACATATGTACCTCATGGGAGTGCCATTGTCATTTGCTATTGGTTCTGTCCATTTCACGGTCGCGTGATCTTGCAAGTCGTCAGAAACTTTTTGTATATTTGGCGGGCATATAATAGTAGGAGGGTCCCTATCTCCTGTATGAACCGAAAAGTAACGTGAATCTATATTCCGCCAATTTCAAAATCCGTTGCATAAAATTTAAAGACTATGCTGAAAATGACAATGCACCAGTTTTTCTGTTTTGTTGTTGCTATAGCCGTGTTATATTACTTGTTTATCACATCTAAAATCAAGGTATCATGTTTGAAATTCACTTAAATCAACAGAATAAGGCACACATAGAAAGAACAAAAAAGTTTTCAAATGAAGGAAATACAAGGAACGCACACTTCGAAATGGGGAAATCAAAGGGAACAAGCACAAACGATGGGGACATACAGAGGAGAACTCTCCTATGTGAAATATTTAATAAATCATTAGGCTTATTTCATGGAATAGCTTAATCAAGTCTTATAAATAAACATTTACATTTCTTAGTAACAGATGAAGTATATTTATATTTGCCACTTCTAGAGCTATACACTATGGGCATTACTGAGACTCCCGCATCAGACACTAAGCTGGATTTATACTTACATTGACAATGAAAACGGATGACTAGACGTTTTGTTGCTTGATAATCATGTTTTTATTTCTGTTTTGAACTAAAAATATTTCGTACAAAATTTGATTTGTGTTAACATATGTGAAGTGGTGATTGGAAAAAGTTGGAACGTTGTTTGACTGTCATCGTTATCTAATTCAGAAACAAATTTACATGAAAGTGTTTGTTATCATCTCAACTACATAAAACACATCATGCCTCTTTTACTTCATTATAATTTTACTAGATCTACCAATTTGTATAATGGATTACTGAAAAAAAAGTAGTACAAAAACACAATAATGAAGCTTTGTTTTCATCACCTATTCCTATCTTTCATAGCTTTTGATTAATACAGAGTAAATAAAACGCGATAAAGTTGATAATACCACAAAACGTCTGGTTCATCGGAAAAACGTATATGATGAATTACCCAAGGCTGTATCCCGTTTCGGTCATTTTAAAAAATAAGATGGGCAGAAGATTGTTGTTATAAAGATTTCAATAACTAGTGATATATGTCAAATTATTTGTCTACTAAATAACTATGATAATAGGATACATCAAATTTAACTATCTATCTTACACTGCAATAAATAGTAACATAAGAAATAAAATGCATACACATATTTTGTTTTCTTAATTTACATTTTCAGACTTAAACTGCTTTGAAGCATTGTATCTGAGACATCAAACTGTTACAGTGAGTCAATGATTTATTGATATCTGATGAAAAAAAGAGAGAAAATGGATGAAATTTCCAAAGGTGTAAATGATTTCACAAATAATTCGTCGATCAAAGAAACAAATATTCAGTCTGGGGAATTGAATTTTTTTGTGAAATTCTAAATAGAATTTTAAGAACATTGACAAGATAATAATTTACCTACTATGGTAATTATACTCATACAGACATCAAGACTGAACTTATCAGCGAAGCATAGCATACAGAGCATGGTATTAAGAATTCAGTTATCTCCCTTTGATGGATTTATACTGTTTCCCATTTGTAATTAAAACATCTTATTTTTTACTGTTTTGTCTTCTTTTCGTTTTTGTTCTCAAACTTTCAAAAACTTGTGTCCTCAGCTGCAACTGTGGACTAGTTCTCAAGTTTGACTGTGGGACATTTGTTACGAGCGTATAAAGGTAATAATGAAAAATCCTATGTAATGTATAAAAGAAGTTTTACATTATTATGTGAATTTCATTTCAACCAATGTAGAATTATCTGCAACGTGTATCATGTTATGTAATATGATTGCATAATTATCATATCGATTTCTTAATCTAAAAGAATGTGAAATATATGATTAGTATAGAATTGACTGTTATTGGTTTGCCATTGTTTTACTAAAACAACATCTTGTGGAAATTGGAATACGAAACAGAATAAAAATTATGACCCAATCTCGGAGCGGGGCGCTTTAAGGCTAGTGCAGTCGAAAAAAGGTCAATTACTTACCATCACGCAGACCACTTACATCAGTGCCTGATGAAGGTGACCGTGTAGTCATCGAAGCGTCACACTTAAATCTTCTACTGGTTAAGTTATAGATACCGCTATTGTATCAATTGAGTTATTTACAATAATCGTTTGTTTGGGTAATTGACATGTAAATCATAAGTTTAGTGCACCTTTTCCCTAATACATATACCTTCCTATAGATAGGTCTTGGTATTTTATCTTCTTTCCTGAATGTCTTATCGTTTTTGAATGGCTTACAGCGTGTAATTATTCGTGTAATGGTTCAAGGGAAAGTGAAACCTAGATAGTGTTTTGGTACTCCAATACAATAAAAGGACTTAATTGATGACCTCTAGAACTTACGGGGGCGATTTCCACAAAGAATGAACAGAGAAGAGATACATTTTATTGTTCCGACTACTCCTTTGATAACACTGCTGAACCATCCTCTTTTCGTCCTAATTAATGCTGTATGGTGATGACGTGTTGCAACTTCGTGACCTTTAAATGAAATATTATACCACATAAATTTATATAAGTATTGTCCAGAGCACATACTAGGGAATAGTTTTACATATAAATGTTTGAATTTTGCTATGCAATTGACATATCAAAAAATATACTCGTTCATGTCTATGATTCTATTGATCACAAATCAATAACGTACAACATATCTACCATCAGTCGGATTAAGATATGGACAATCAGTCGGATTAATGATATTGTATCATATTTGTGCAATTCATATCAATGTTTTCATCAACGTAATACAATCGAGGCACACGTTTCATCACCATGATATTTTCATAAAAGGAGTTTCTGCCTATTGACAATTGCAAATCAGAAGTTTCTTTTCAGAAAGTCTTGACTTGACGTTTCTAGTTTCGGTGACGGAAATTCTAATTTGAAAGCACTGACTTTACTCAAGACAGGAGCTACTTCACTCCTTAATGGTTTTCATTCGATATGTCTATGATGTTTTGCCATTTAATACCTTATATAGAGAAACTGTTTTCCCTTATTAACCAAATACATTGACATCTAAATGTTCATCTATTTAAACTTTATAATAATTTCAACACATTCTCATACAGTATCACTGATAAATACTAATAATGTAGTGTTTTCAATCGTAACAATATATCATCTCTATTGTTAGTTCTTGTCTGTCAGTGAATGAACTGTGTTGATCTATGGTGGTTAATTTGCTTTTTTATCTACGAAAAGTAAATTTTGTTTTCGATATACCAGCTGCTTTCTTCTAAATCTTGATATTTCATATTTGGTTGCCATACCTTAGTAAAACAATGCTTAAATGGTCCAAAATATCTATAACTTAAATTAACTAATCTGTTTTCAATTTCGTATATTTAAACAGAATAGTACGATCGTAGTGGCAACTTCTCATTTAGATTATATGAATATTGGCATGAAGTATAGATAACGCCGTCGCACGGGAATGTGTACGAGGTCATTGAGTTTAATTTCATCCTTAGTGTCACTGCAGAAATAGCCAGTACACACATCAAGTTATGACTTTATATCAGCGAAACAATTAACCTGAAAGACAAACGCCAGCACCTACCGTTTTCGACATTTAAAGACCAAATTCCGTCGGAACATGTTTTCCATGTCGTGAACGTTTCATTGGCGCATCGAAAAAAACAGGTTGATCCATCAACAGCATGTGATGTGCTTATGTACAGCTTGCCTGTCTGATCGGTACATTGCATGACGTCACAAATATCTCCAGGTTGTATCATACATGTTCCATTCTGTTGAGAGAGCGATGGTGTTAATTTGTATTATGTATAAAAGTTACATTAGAATTTCAAATTTCTATTCACTTACGCAGTGGTAAACTAAAGATAAAAGAAACAAAAAGTACCAGTGAATAGCAATTTCAATTTCAATACATTTTCATTTCAAATCCAATGTTATCCAACTTCTTCCCACATAATATACATAATTTTCATACAATTGTACCATTCGTTTCATTTTAAACATATTATTTTTATACAAATGTTAATGTACAACAGCTGTTTTAAAGACCACGATTGCTTATCAATAAAGAAATTTCTTATCACCACCTGCCTATTTTTATTATGTAAGCAAGTTTAGATTTACAAACATATACGATAAAATCATCAAAACATGTATACTTACCGTGTTCTTAAATAGTATTATGCTGCTTACAAGTAATAATATCAGTTCCCGCATTGTTGTGATCAGCTGAAGGACCGTGCCGTTCGCAAGGCCAGGTGAATATACACCTTGATATTTTGCCTCGATACCCCGGTAAATATATACATAACTTATCGGGTATTGATTGCATGCGCCTTGGTTACACTAGCTACGGCGTATTTTTCTATCCACAGAAGAGAAAACATTTCGCATTGAAATAAACTATTGATGAATCGTTTTTGTTTTCATATCTAGTAAAGGATCTACCAAACACTAGTTTTTACTTTCAATTCCAGGCAGTAGAAGCAGCTTTGATAAAATTCTCTCTTGCTGAATTACGTTCTCAAAATGTTTCGTTCTGTAAATTACCTATTTTGAATTAGATTTCGAAAAGGAGTTCTTTAATCGGCAAGATATGCCAATGTAAATGTTTTTCCATGACTTGTATGAAGACAACTGGTTTAAACTGTATGTATTCTTCTTCAAGATAAGTGACCTCACATTAACATAAAGAAATTCAAGCATTTTGTTATGAATTCCTTCTCAATTTAGAACGGGTTATGAAGGAGTTTCTCATCTATCTTTACTACAAGCAAACATTTCTGCCTAGCTGGATGGCGGAAATAAAGCTATTGTAAATATTTTACTTAAAAGTTAAAACAAAGTTATCCCAAAACATGCGTATCTTACTGAGCACTTGCTTCGGAAAATAAACTGAAAACTGCTTAAATCCACCCTTGGACCGATATGGTTGTTGCACATAGAACAATCGGGATAAACGAGAATCAAGAAGCCAATAACATTCACATGTGAAGTAAACTTACACAAACGGATAAATAAATGTCTACTCAATACGAATTAATTTTGGTGTCTAAAAATCAATAGTATTATGAGTTGTGAAATGATAATTTTACAACATGACAAACAACAAATGCAGTTTAAAGTATTTATAACCCGGCAGGGAAATGAATCATAAATATTCCCAATCGCCATCCCAGGGCACATTTTTTATGGCTGCAGTCTTGCTTTTATCAAATTTATGGCAATACATAGCTGAAGGTATCTATTGCTGTGAAGTGTCTATACATGAAATATTTTTGGAAGAAATAATTGTACAAAATGCACACACATTTAGAATTACAAACCGTAGAGCCACATGGTGAATTCAACATTTGGAGGGAACCAAAAATGATTAAAAGAGATATCAAAATGTAGGAGAGATGGTGCACAATACCCATCAGTTGATAAATTTCGTAATTTTCATTTATCTGATGACTCTAAAATAACGTCAATTAGATGTGTATATTCTGAACTGTGCTACTAATTAAATACATCACAACATTGCATGATGATTACAGCAAACTTCAGCATGACTAATAGTCAACAAGCAGCGTCTACCATCAAGGATTGTGCAAACGACACATAAGTGAATAACACCTTTCAATAGAAATTGAGATAGAGACACCAGAGCCAAATAACGAATGAAACTGCGTGGTACAGCTGTTTCGTCTTTATAGGACTCGATAGACCTCTATTACACTATGTAAATATATGCTGATTTCTGAAGTGTTAACATATAAACCATAATGGATGCTTATAAACATACACTTATTACTCATGTTCCATTGTTCGGTCATGAACTGGGTGGTATATCGCTGTGATAATAGCGAGTGTATATATTGAGTTACTGTTGATCAGTGGTGAATATCTGTGATAATAGCGAGTGTATATATTGAGTTACTGTTGATCAGTGGTGAATCTCTGATAATAGCGAGTGTATATACTAAGCTAATGTTGAGCAGTAGTATAACGCTGTGCTAATAACTAATGTTTATACTGAGTTACTGTTTATCAGTGGTATAACGCTGTGATAATAACTAATGTTTATACTGAGTTACTGTTTACCAGTGGTATAACGCTGTGATAATAACGAATGTTTATATGGAATTATTGTTGATTAGTGGTGTTTCTCTGTGGTAATAACGAGTTTATATACTGAGTTACTGTTGAGCAGTGGTGTATATCTGTGGTAATAACGAGTGTTCATACTGAGTTACTGTTGAGCAGTGGAGTATATCTGTGATAATAGCGAGTCAGTGGTATAACGCTGTGCTAAGAACGAATGTTTATTCTAAATTACTGTTTATCAGTAGGATAACGCTGTGAAAATAACAAGTGTATATATGGAATTATTGTTGGTTAGTAATGTATCTCTGTGATAATAACAAGTGTTCATACTAAGCTATTGTTGATCAGCGGTTTATCTCTGTGAAAATAACGAGAGCTTATACTGAGTCATTGTTGATCTGTGGTAATCCATATGTTAGTTGGTATTATATAGATGACGTCACTTCGTATAATTGGTCATGAGACAAAAGTCGACCATCTAGAAAATTAATAACTAGGACGGAGTGATCGGGGTAAGGAGGCATAACTACGCTACTGACACAACATTTAGTGGCACATTGTTCCCATGATATATCGTTAATGTATTTAATATTCTCAATACATACAATACTATGCCGAAAAGATTTAAGTTTGAAGAATGTGTGAAGTACGATGTAACATAAAAGAAATCCTACGGCATTAGTACAAATACACGATACATACATGGGTATTAATAGATAGAAGCACATTCTGCATTTGTTTGTCCTTCGCAAATTCTTTAGTTATGATAAGAGATGAAACTGGCATTAAGGAAGATTCTTATCGATATAATCAAGTTTATAAATATAGCAAACGTTTTAGCTTTTGTAATGTCGATGTTTGGGAATAGGGCAGTTGGCAGCTGACCAAGACTTTAACAAAGAGTCTTTATAATGACTGTCTAAAGACGCATTTAGATAACGAAACTTAAGTCTTATTGAATTGTTGAAAAGGTATTGATATTTATTTGACCTGTTTTGATAAAATCTTCAAGAAATTCAGCCTTGTATGAAAACAAAAACAAATCTGTCGACAGAGGGCACAGTTAGTTCCCATGGGTTTGATAATAGCCTGTCGGAAGATCTTACCACGAACTCGACTAAGATGTTGTCGACTCCATCATTTCTTATGATTTCGTCCTCCGGATATTTCTTCTTTGATTTGGACATATTTTTAACGAAATACGCTTCATTGTATATTATACGGTGGAAAAGAAAGCTCGCATATCATGAGATTGAAGGCGTTCTTTCAGTTAAGAATGAGGTATGGGGTGTACAGGATGGAAAATTCGTAGAAGAGAGGAAGTGTTGAAGTTTGGTCAAAAGTTCTTTCGAGTTATTAAGCATCCTCATACTATAAATTCCACTTATCCTAATCATTAGTAGGCAATATAAATTATTGTAATACAGAAGCATGATTAGCCCGTACATGTATTTCGTCTTCGGAAAGATTGCATAACATATCTCTAATGTAATTTTTGAGGTGTGGATTTAGCATCAGGATCACGGAAAACTGACTTGTTTCTTTATTTTCATTTTAAATTTCAAGCTTCAAATTCAGTAAAGAATGGTGTACGTGCAGTGATCTGAAAACAGTGATGGCGTAATTTACGAAAATGTTAGGGGAATTCCTTCTGTCTGTGCACGTACACATAAACGAGAGGATGTTTAACCTCTCTATTTTGACTGATTGCCGAAAAACGGTGTCGTGAAGTAGCTTAGACAAAAAGGTCGTTAATATGGTTGTGTATATATTCATGTACATATAAAGTTATCGATGTCGGTTGACACGATCTTGCCTACGTTTGCATGATGTCACTCATAAAACAGATGTAGATTTGTTTAATCGATACTTTGATACCTTAATTTGTTTATCTCTAGTTCAATGGCAATATAAGTTTACATGTATCTCCATAAACGTCTTTTAATCGTAAGTTATTGTCACATTTGAACTTCCTTCCTGATAACGACAAATCACCTGTAACATGTTTTACAAAATCTCTAACGAAGTATGACATTTTGTCAGTTATATCTTAAGAGATTAGTTTGTAGAATCAATCTTTCATTGTTGGAGTTAGGTTATATCCTGTTCAAAGGAGCAAATGCAAACATTGCTACGGTCCACATTACACTGGACTGTCATTTATCTTTATACATAATGGTTGTTAGGCAAATAATAAAAAAACATTTAAACACATTTGTTTTTTGTAAGGCTTAAGAATTATAATAAGAAAAGACGTGTTTGATTTTGCGTATAGGCTGACTTTATAACGTTTAGTTGAAATGTGAATTTTTGTTGTAATAAAGAGTAATTACGTTAGAAAGCCTCTCCATATCAATCAACTTTATGTTCTTAAAAGGCCTTAAGCTTTATTTTCTTAAAACTTCCTAAAACCTACATAAAATACCAAACTGACGAAATGAAAATACACTGAGATGAAAAATTGTATAAACGTTTTCCATAAAGAAAGGAAGAGTTAATCTTTATACAGATGAGTAGCGTGATCTAAAACTGCTGTGAGTACGCGATTCTTCTTGTTCCTACATTTAATCCATTCAATACTACTATAATTATCGTTTATAAATTATGTCAGGTGTATGTAAAGAGACCGTGTTTACAACTGAAGAATATTGTTCTTTTCAAACACTTGCAAACTCGCATATAACACTATCTTTTTGGCTATATTCAGTATGCAGTGGAGACGGATTCGTAGCCACGGACAAGCGGATATGGATATACAGGCACGTTTGAAGATCTAATGGAAACTTTAAAGGAACCATTAGGAGTCAATCATGTCCTAATTTGTTGTATTTGCTTTCTCTCGCTTTGATATAGGTTAATTCAGCTAAAACTGTTCCGATGACGTTTGAAAACCCCGTCTATTTATTGAAATGTCAAAATTAAAAATAATTATGGATTTCATGGACAATTATGCTAAAGAATAGGTGGACCGATAAGTGGCACATTAAGTTATCTCGGAAAGCTGACATGTCGTAATTATGTGTCAGTTATCTCCTTATTACTATTTAGTTATCTTGAACGATTTATAATGTTGTAATAACGTATGAAAGGTAAGTGACTGCAACATATTGTACTAAAGACTCAGGTGAATAGAACATTTTCATACAGATATAGATTTAGATATTATAGACCCAATCGTGAAATAAAGTGCACCACACAGCTATTGCATCCTTTTAGATGATGCTTAAGTCCTAAATTTTGAAGACTAGGAAGCAAGATCAAAGTGATCAAAAGAAATGTCAATATCAAGATAGGTACAGGCATTTTTATAGTTCTGAAATTTTCAGATGAACGGCATATGCATGGGTATATCCAATATCGTGCAACTATTCGAATTAGTTCAAACATGGCGTGCAAGTAAAACTTCGGATGGCTATGGACTACTATGATTGACAGCATTGCAGTCCTGTAGCTTATTTAATGCTCCATCTTTTTGTTAAAATTAAAATTTTGCTTATGTTGTAAATATGTTTGTCCTTATTATTCGTCAATAAATAAATGGCATTACCGGATATATTGCTTTCTTTGTCGTTATTGATATATTATATATCCTAAAACATAGCTCAAGTCGTGACTCAATTATCGAGATGGAAATTATAATATAAGTCATGGTGTATCAACTGATTTCAAGCAAGAAGCGCGGAACAATCCCAAGTTGTTATGATGTGATGTATTACTTTTGTTCTATCAGCGAACCAAAATGACGCAAAATATCAACTTGTTTATATATATATGTTTGTCTTTCTAAACTATCAGATTGTTTGGAAGGTAAGATCGACATCAAATGTAGTTTTTGGAGCCAAAACATATCTTTCATATTTTCATAATGGTAAAATTAAAATGGTCTATTATTTGAATGAACTTTAAAAATCTGAAAGTGTTTACAGCTTATTGAGGAAATGAACCAAACTTCTTTAGAATTTCTTGAAGCTGGAAAAGTAGACTTGCTGTTATCTAGTGAACTTTGTTGAAGTCGAATGGCGTAAAAACTCGTGACCTTCCTTTATGCTCACAAAAGTTACCAAAATTATAGATAAGCGGCAAGAATTTTGAGTGATGAACCAATGTTAACTTGAGTCTGTTTCACGCCAATCTTTTTCCTCCGTATCGGGTTACCTAACAATATTTCATTTTGTCATTAAGAATAGTGATCCGCTATTAGTAGCATCATTACAGGTTTTGTATTAAAACAAATCAAAACTGATTGCTCTTGCTTAAACTCTGTATAGGTTTCACCTCCCAATGTATTTGGAAGACTGTTTAGCCTGTTGTCCGTGTAATGTAATCATCAGTGATTGAATCTTCGAAATATTCAGTTTGATGTGTGCAAGATTAATCCTTTCATTCAGAAGAGAATGTTTATTTTCTCGTATGCTTGTGTACTTCAGATTATTATCTTGAATATTTTCAACATTTGACAGTTATTCAGTCAAGATATATTCCTCTAAAGCTAAAAAAAAAACGTTCCATATAAGCATGGCTTCATCGTTCGAAATCTGTTTGTGTTCCTGGTTTGAAAACTTATGTCAAAAAGGAAAAAACAACAAAACGTACTTGAAAACTCATTTATTAATCTTCCCGGCTTGGGTTGCCATCGATGTCCGCAGTTTACATTTTGAACATATGTATCATTTTGAAAAATAAAAACTGATGCTACAGTATAAAACTTGAAATGAATAAGCCATGCAGATGATATTTACTCAGCAATTGTAAATCATAGCCACTTTTATTAGTATCACATCAGTTTCCTGATCTTCCAAATCCATTGTATATTCATGAACAAATGACATCGACGTTTTGACCTGTACACAAGTCTTTGTAAACATTGCAGAAGTACGAATAATGCGAGTTCTTCAGTCTTTCAATGAATTTGTCCTGTAGTAAACCTATATCACTAGCACTACTACATGACCCGAAGTGAACGTTGGTGTCAGGTGGTCCGGACAGGGAAACTGAAGCTGTGAACAAACCATTCATTGCATGTAATACACGATATTTGTCAAAATTCTGAGCATTTAAATGTAACGCATACCATTCTAGTCGTATTTCAAAATTGAATTCACGAATTTATGACTGAAATGGTCTTGTTTTTAGGAATATTTAATATATTTCCCGTTTTATGTCATATATTTCAGTTATCACAAGACAAACCGATGTTGAGATTACTTTACATCTTACCTCCACAGCCTGGAAGTTTAGCACTCGGTTTCCATTCACCGCTTGCTCCGCAGACATACCATTGATTGGCATCAATACCTGGATAGACGTCATGGTTGATATCACAAAATACCATGCAGTATTGCCCAAAGTCGCTCTTCCAACCGTTACAAACCTTTGCACCACCAGATGGAACGTTCAGGGTCGGACATGGATGTGCTACAAAGTTAACATCGAGTGTATTTGTAAGATTAGGTCATTATACATGATAATTACATTTGCATTTTTCTATTGTTTCCTCTTCGTGTTTGTGTTGTGTGTGTGTGTAAGGGTGTGTGTGTGTGTGTGTGTGTGTGTGTGTGTGTGTGTGTGTGTGTGTGTGTGTGTGTGTGAGTGTGTGTGTGTGTGTATGTGTGTGTGTGTGTGTGTGTGTGTGTGTGTTTGTGTGTGTGTGTGTGTGTGAGGGTGTGTGTGTGTGTGTGTTAAATTCAAATTACTATTGTAAGTTGTTGATTATAAAAAAAAATGTATTGATTTTCATATCATTTACGAAACTTGTTATTCATATATTTGAGTGAAAAATGTTTTGTAACTAATTTACTTACGTCGGATTGTAATATTAAATATGCATTCTGTGCTCAGACCATTCGTTCTTTTGAGTGCTGAGTACTGCACCGTAAAGTCTCCCCAATGGAAACTCCAGTGGTTAATTGGGTAGTTATTCGTCACCTTTAGGTCTGTTCCCATGGGATCCGTAAATATTGGAATAGACCAGTTAATGCTGACAGTGGGTTTAGACACAAAAAGGTTCATGTTGGTAGGGCAGTCCGTCATGACTGGTGGTTGTATGTCTGAGGAAGGTACAAAAGTAAATTATTATCTACATCTACAACATAAAATACTAAAATGACATTAACAATCAAATTGTATACAGATTTGGAAATATGTAAATGAGGATCGAAATGGAGATTCCGTATGTACTATCTATGCTACTGAAGTGACAAATATATAGATGAAATAAATAACATACAGGAATTCCAATTTCAGAATGCAGTTAAAGGTAATTTGTATAATGAGATACGCATCGCTACGCACAGCACAAACGATATGCTTTGTCATATCCTTAGTAATTGAATATAGGATATAGATGTTTATTAGTTTGTTTTGTACCTTGTTCACAATTGATTCCGCTCCAGCCTGGTAAACACTGGCAGACATAGCTATCCAAACCATCCACACATGTTCCTCCATTTTGACAGGGGTTACTAAGACAGGTGTGAGCGTCTGTAAAATAGCTTGTGATATTATCCTATTATATATGTTCATCGAACAATAGACTTTTTCGTGGTATTTGGTATAACTTTGACAAATATCTAAAACCCAAAAAGGAATCATATCACCTGTACCTAAACTACCTTAACTATTCCAAATCGGTGATAATTCATACCGAAAATTGGCGAAATCTACCAAGGGTTCCTGGAGTCACTTGCCACACTCACACTCCATGGTCAAACTTGACTTTATTATATCTTGAAGTTACACCGCTTTTTTATACGTTGCCCATAGTCATCTGCCTAAGTGTGCAATTCAGAAGTAAAGTAATTAACATTATATTTTGTGATACTCGAATATTTTCGTAAACATTGTAAACAAATCAGTATCACTTTTCAACCTGTATACTTACAAATGCAGCGTGGCATGTACCCTGTCCATCTACCATACTTGTTGCATGTCCTCACGCTCGTCCCTTGTGTCATGTTGTACAAAGGTGAGCACGTGTAGGTAACAGTATCACTGTAGTCAAACGAGTCGCCGTGCCTTTGTCCATTTGTTAGACGTCCAGGGTCTCCACAAGTAACCTCTAGTATAGTAAAAAGTGTACACTTTACGGTTTGAATAGATACATGGACCGATGGTGAAAATGATTAAAAATAAAAATAATTAGGAAGGTGACAGAGTACCGCAAATGTATGAATCCTGAACAAACATACATGTATACGTGTTCGACCGTTATATGAACAGAAATGAAAATATATGATTTTTTTTAAAAAGTCACAAAAGACTTATTCATTTAATACATTGTACATTTTTAAACAAGTGAACCCCTTACCAACAGTGAAGTCAAGGATTGATAATCACTTGGGTGTAAAATGTACCACCTTCTTTTGTCAGTTTACCTATTTTAATTTCGTTAATATCAACTCGTTTACTCTTTGAACAGGTAGACACGCCAAACCATTAAAACCCTCGAGTCAGTTAAATGCTGATCAAACGCAAACTTTTCCGTCAATTATCAAACATTTTTATAGGAAGCCATGTTTCAATTTTGCATTGCCATATCCAAGACATGTCTTCCGTTTTTTAATGTCGTTGTAATAGTTCAATAAGTGAGACCGTTGACATATGCATAAAATGTAAGGTCGATGCTCACTTCCTGTTTTGGTTTATGTTTCTTATGAAGCTAATAAACTGGCCGGTATGTGCTGTTGTGGTTTTATTTGTGGTCACCCTGTATTTTTAGCTCCCACAAAGAAGGCAAGATCACCACGGCTATTTACGGCGCGATAAACCAAGCAAAAGGACTTTAAAATATATATATATATATCTTCAGGTGATACATTACATGTACACTGTACGTTACGAAAAATGAGTGTAATTGAAGATATATATATATATTGTTTGTCATGTTAAGTGATTAATTTTCTCTGTATATACGATACACAAAGTTTTTATCGTTTTAAATATATTTTAACAAAAAATGCATCACATCTGTGTTGAGAAATTTACTTTTTTGTCTACCTGCTTGTATCATGGGGTGCAGTCATGAATGAAGGCTTACTATTGTACTTATTAAAACGAACTACTTGCTTTCGCCACAGCATCTTCCTCTCCATCCATTCGGACACCTGCATGACCATGTACCCATCGTACCGCCGTTATAACAAATTGTGTTACAGTCTCGATAGTCGAACCCCATATCATTCGAAGCGCAATCTTCGAAGGTTTGACATTGCAGTGTTGTATGAAGGTACACCATTCGTTCCCGCCTTTGAGATCCGCCTCCACATTTTGCAGTACACTGACTCCAACTCTGCCAGGAATTAAAGCTACAATGACATAGACTCCACGTGGATGATCTTCCTCCTAGCACCAGCTCTATTGTCAAACATGACAGGATTAATATCTGTAAACAATCATAATGATTTTAATTTCATCCCACGTAAAAATGCCCTGTAAATTGATACTGTCATGTCTTCCTTCCAATCCTTCCAACAACGGGGCCGTGACTATTTATCACTGGTTAAGTTTACATGAGGTATGTTAACTTCTTTTAAATTATTTGTAAACAGTAATCTGTTCGAAAAGATATTTTTGTGTGTCGATGAAGAAGCACGACAAATGGACCGTCTGAGAATTGATTAAAAAAAAACAACAAAAAGCGAAATTCCAGCATGTGTTATCAATGAAGGATTTAATTGTTTATGCTGTTCATTTATCCTTTTCTAAATCTATTGAAGTGTTGATATGTTAAAGGGTTCATGAGATATATTGTACACAACTTGTTTAATTAAAAAAAGTGGTCAACAGTTAGTGACCTTTGACCTTTACTAATGACAACCGAAATTTAATTAGTCATAGGCCTTGATTGTTTTTTTTTTTTTTTTTTTGTATGGAAATGAAATCTTTTCATAGGTCAATGAGATAAAAATCCTTTCCGAAGCGGGGACATATGACAGATTAAGCCAGAAATCGGAGCGTAAATACTTTCTTGTTAATCTGTTTTACCAAACGTACCTACAATTTTGATATCACAATCTAACATTTTCCATTTCGTTACGATGAAATATGCCTTACCTGTGTGATCTTCATAGTACAAACATGTATACTCTTATTCGGAACTTGCTGACAACGAGTCTATTCACCTCTTATCGGTAACACTATTTTATTCCATACCGTCAACCAATGAAATTTACGGCTGATAATGAAGGCGTGGTTGTTTCGTGACTGAAAACATAAATAGGAACTTGTACAACGATTTTAACACACAGGACAGAGGTTGATACAGGTGAGTAGGATATATTCTTTACAAGAATACAATACATTTTATTTTTTCTTCTTATCGATTAACTAATAATTTCTTTGTTGAAAGAAAACCGATAAGATATTAAAATCAGACGCATGTTATTAAGAACAGGATTAAATATATGCCCCAAATCATATGTACGTGGTAAATAGTTTTCAAACATTTTCTTTCTTCATGCTTTTAAATTACAGACTAATTGTAAAGTACTGGAAAAGGAGGATGAAAGACAACGCACTACTTTGTGTTGTCCTTGCATTGATGTTGCCGGACCAGAGTATATGTTGGGGATCATCAAAAAAAACATCAAGTGAGACTCTGGTAAAGTTTAATCCTACTTTCTCTTTCACATCGTTCAATACATATAATTTGTTTATATTCTCCTCGTATTCATACTGTAACATATAATATTTACTTTTGAAGTATTACCTTAAAAACAAGCAGGAAATATAAATGTTTGTTGAAACAATTCAAACTTACAGTTAACATTTATCATTGCCTAGGAATATCAGTTTTTTCATAGACTGACGTATTTTGTGATGTACCAATGCGATATGAATATTACATATTACGTATGTTTGACAAAATTCAAATTCAATTGTATTTTTACTTTTCATATCTGATATACGCGAACAATTATGTCTATTTTTATGAAGAGCTTGAGAGATCTTCCTTCGCTGTCAAAACCCTGTAATACAGCTGATGTTACAGTCAGTAGGACAGACTGTTTGAATAGAGGACAGGCAGTAGTGAACCATGGTTACAACTGCAACTTGGTTGGTGAATATGGAAATGTGACTGGTGTTATTACATGTAGGAATGGCGCCTGGATTGCTCTTCCAAGTGGTACATTTTCATCTGTTGTATACCCTAGAATATGTATTTGTTTGTTAATTTATTGTATGTAATTATATGTTTATAATTACTAAAAGTGGAAATGAATTTTCGGTATAACATAATGTATCCCCTATACAACAAATGTGTTACTAAATTTCCTTGACCAAGGAGATAATCTTAAAAGTGTCTAATTCAAATATGAGAAATGAAAAATAAAGCAAATACGATGAGCTAAAATTTTACATTTTTAATGGTGTAAATGTAATTCATATACATTAAAAAAATTATTCAACAACTAACATTTCCATGACTGAAATACATGCAAATGCTATTTTAACTATCCACTCATATTTTTACAATTAAAATGTTAAACATTTAAGAGGCAAGCATTCTGAACTCCCAAATCTTTGGTTCTAGCATCTCCAATGAAGCTCAGAATAACGAAACAATTGTATGATGTATTTATTATTGGTCATATGCTACTAAATAGAATTACAAAATGCCTTTCCTATGAATGTCGTTTGTTAAACAAGGAAATGAAGTGAAATTGTCAAATAAATGTTAGGAAAATACATCTATTGACTTTTAAAGGATCTTTACGGTTAAAAAGACAAGCGGCAAATCCAAAAGGTCCTCGACAACCTGGTGACCTAATGTTACAAACAGCAGGTGTAGGTGCTTCAATCGGTGCTACATTCGGACCCGTTGGCATGGCTGTAGGGGCGGTGGTAGGGGCAGTAGGTGGATTAATTTGTGAGATATTCTGTCATCATTGTAAGTACTGATTATTTCTTGACTTTCAAAGAAACGGTTTAAGTTTGGTATCTACATGCATGGATTTTTTTCGCATTGAAATGTTTTTGATATTTCATATGAAGTGCCTGCTTTTGCATCAGCAAAATATCTATATGTTATTTTTAAAGGATTACGTATATCGCCTGAAATGGATTACAGCTTTGTTGCTAGTAGTATATATGCTACCAGATAATTTAGTTTTTATCTTGTTAAAATGAGTTAGTTAACAGTAATCAGAGGTTCAAAAATTCATTTTCTTAACTTCTTATTTTCTTGTTATCAATATAGCTGACCCACCGCCTCCGAACCAACCACCTACCATACATTGGGCAATTCCAAACAAAAAAATCTACCATGCGGAGTCAGGACATGTGTATGCTGTTGCCATATGGCCCAAACCTAGTGCTACAGATCCCGAGGATGGCACAGTGAGGTAAGATTACAAGACAGTATTTTTTTAAGAAAATGTTTCATGCTATAGAGAATCTAACTGATATGATTTCAATTTCGTGTGATTGAAATTGAATCACTGATTAAATAACAGGGAATAGATCGCAACGAGCTTCATGATTCTTGTATGAAATGAAAAGGTATGATACAGTTTATGTCTCACTGTTCAGTTGAACATAGGCACAGAATAGGATTAACATCCAAGAACGTATTCGTAAATATAATATGAAAAAATATACAAATGCCAAGGTTGTTATTTTCTCCAGATATTCTATTTTTATTCAGGCATAATTATCAAAACATGAAAAATAGCTGTCCTTTATCTGCGTTTTTTTCACTTTTGTCAGATTGATAAACTGATAAAGAATAATAAAGCTTTCCAATTTTTCCAAACAATTTATCGTAATTGATTGTAAAGCATAGTAATCAAAAGGATGATAATTAATACAGAAGTGCATTAAAAAAATCTAACCTCCCTTGATACAATTCAAGTGGACTATTATTTATTTAATACGAGTCTATCATTCAAAAGAAAATACGCATACTGAGAGTGAAGACAGTACCGTATTGTTCTCATTTGAGAACGTATCATTACTCACTTGAATTGACCGAGATATGCATGAAAAGTGTCTTTGATAAAGCAAGAGATATTAACTTTCTGGAACCTGCTCATCTTGCAAACCTTTCTTTTCTTCACGTTTTTGCCTTCGTTTCACAGAATGAGATCGGATCCTTATTTCTTATTTGTCGGTATTTGTATGTTTGGGTTTTTAAATATATCGCGCTTGTTTGTGTTAAATTAGATTTAATATATATAATTTATAAGATATGTTGGATTTCTTAGGGTTGAACTGGTGTTGGGCAGTGAATCTGGCAGTAGGTTTAGTCGTGGAAGTAATACCATCATATACCAAGCAAAAGATAGCGGAGGACTGATTGATTCCAAATACTACACTTTCAAAGTTGAAGGTATTACCAATTTATCCCCACAATTGAATATTCTTTTACTAGTTTCACCCATTACTCTAATAAACATTAAAATAATACGTATTATTTCAGTGACCACATGTAAAGCACCATTGGCAAGGCCAAGCCATGGTCTTGTGCAATGTGAAAATCCTGAGAGAATAGCAGGATCTAACTGCTCATATAGTTGTTTTGAGGGATTTCGATTGAATGGTGATGCAATAAGAAGATGTGAGGAAAATGGTTCTTTCTCTGGACACGATGCACAGTGCAAAGGTAAAGCCGTTGGATGGAATGATACCGTTTGACAATAATCTCACCATGCCAATATATCTCATAAATGAAATTACATGAATCAGTGCGTTTCTTTCTCTTTTTTCATTTCCTACATAGTATACCTAGTGTGTTTTATAAATGACCACATGTTTTCTGTAATTAATTAGCCGTAACCTGTTCAAGAACAGCTCCAAACATACACCCAGGTCATGGAAATGTCACATGTACAGACACAGTGTTTGAGTATAATACTGTTTGTGCCACCCGTTGTGACAAGGGATACAGTCTACCGTCCGACAGATTCCAAATGACAAAGTGTAATAGCCACGGCACTTGGTCAGCCGCATTACCATCTTGTCAAGGCAAGTATCCGTAACGTTTTAACCTTTCAGCTTCAGAAATTACGCCGTTATGGCACATCGTTTAAGAACATTTCATGTAAGAGCTATATTAATAATACGTCTATTTAAAGTCCAGATTATGTACAAAGCCACTGACAAGACGATTTAATTTTCTGTAAACAAACCATAAAAATGACTGCGGGAATGGAACAGTGCTCGCATTACTTTCTTTATATCATATACAAACATGTTTACATGTAATTGAATACTATCTATATATATAAAATTAAAAGACTGGAAAACACGATGAACTGTAAAACATAAGCGCTTTGATTTCTTCTTCAGATGTTTTACATATATGTATATATATATGTGTGTGTGTAGTTATGAATTGGTGGATATGGTGGTGCAACTATAACTGCTATCCTCTTAACTTTTAACACATTTCCATTATAGATGCCGAGCCCCCGGAAATAAAAGACTGTCCAACTAGTATCAATACCTATGCAGAAAGAGGACAAAGTTTTGCCATTGTAACGTGGAACACTCCAACTGGCATTGACAATTCTGGTGGAAACGTAACTATACAACAAACGGTCGGGGAGGTCGCCGGAAGTCGATTCGATGTCGGCTTTCACGAAATTCGATATCTAGCGACAGATTTGACGGGAAATAAATCTCCGGACTGTATATTTTTTGTCATCGTCGAAAGTACGTTATGTAAACAAATACGTTTTCTTAAATATAATTCCTAAAACCACTACTTTTCGATATTGTAGATGGGATGGTGCGACCTTCCTGGACTGACTCTATTTCACTGTGGTTATCAATGTCTCAAAGCCGAAATTAAGCTTAACACAAATTCATTTTACCTTAACTTTACATAGAATATTCTTTGATTCCCATCAAGATGTAATACGAAATATTCATCAATGAACAATTAACTTTATTTTTCTTACTTTCCATTAAGACTATTTTGAATCAGCTGTTGCGGCGATATATCATTACATTAAGACCCACATAAAAGAATACATTACATGTAATACTCACAACATCAGATCAGCATGGATCAATAAAATAAAGTAAACCCCTCTCCCCAGTCTGTTGAGCTTTATTTCACAATCTTTCCACACAGCTGTTGTTCTTCAAGGGAAGCGGAATAAATGCAAATAATGTTTTAAAAACTACGTAAGAAGATCAACGAAATCGACATATTTGTAACAATAGACGATATATGTTTCGTATCACCTTAAATATTAATTTGGTGAATTTAATCGATAAGCATATTTCACGACAAACTGTGTAAATTGGTTCCAAAGCTACTGCTACTTTATTTGGAAGACATAGCTCAATTACATTTTTATTCAAGTATATATATTATATTAGTTTTCTATATTAATAATATTTAACCAAACACGGCGTTCAGGAATCTGCCAAGAACTGTCAACAATCTTTTGTTTGACTTGTAGAGCAAAATATGTCATGTTGATAATAATACATTAAAAGACTATATGTTGTTTATGTGCATGTTTAAGTATGATACTGCTTTAAAAAACATTAAACATGAACTATAAAACGACTGGTGTATTACAGAGCTGCTTTGTGACCCCCCTGCCATAGTGGATCCATTCATGAAACTAACGTGTCCAGATGGATTTATATACGGGTCAAGCTGTAGCCTGTCATGTAAGGGGAGCTACCCTCTAATAGGAAATGACAAGATGTACTGTGACAGGAATTCTACCAACTCGAAGTTCACGTACTGGAACTGGGGAAGCGGCCCAAAACCTTACTGTAAACGTATGTTGGATCGAAAAATCTCTTTGCATATAATTGTTATATACTTGCGTAGCATTAAATGTAGTTGATATTGATACAAAATAAAGCCATTTTACTTTGAAACAAAAATGCGTTTGTAAAGAAAAGCCTGTGATATGCATGTACTAACATGTAAATTGTATTAAACTTTATTTACATTGCATATTTTTTTCTCTTCATTTATGTTATCAGAGACATTTTTAGATTTTGTTGCCTATGTGATTTTAGAAAACAATTGTCCATCGCTGGTCCCTCCCGTCCATGGAGCTCTAACCTGTGACAAGTGGGCTTACGGAACACAATGCATGCTCCACTGTAACGAGCATTACGATATTCCGGCGGCAGCAGGCGGAGGAAGTGTCGCTAGATTTACTGGGCAATTCACTTGCTCCACCAGTTCTGGAAAATGGAGTCCTGTGGAATCCGTTCCTGGGTGCTCAGGTATTTTCGTTTATCATTACATATTGTAGATAAAACTTCAATTGCAAATTTGTTTTGTTATGAGAAATAACAAGCACAACCGACATGTCATCATAAGCACAATCCAAACTCAAATCCAATAAACCTAGGGCAAAAGAAGGATTTACAAGAGGACTCCTGAAAAGTTACAATGAGAAGAAAATAAAAATAGCAATACATGTATTTTGGGTTTTAATTTTTCAACATAAAATCCACTTTAAGTTTTAATGTGAATGGACAAAGTAGTTTAATGGCGTAATTTTGAACAAATGGCCATTGTCATTAACATTCCTATGTATTTCATTAATTTTCTAGTGAAGCGGGATCCGGTGAATTTCGTCTTACCGTCTGAAATGTATTATTATTCTGGCACTTGTGATAACAAAACAACACAGGACACTATCAAGGCACACTTCATTAAAGAGATACAAGCATTACAATTAGATCCAGGATGGCAAGGAATTTGTCCTAATACGCAAGACTGTAATGTCCAGAATGTGGATATAAGTTGTGGTACCGTTCGCAGGCGGCGTGGTAGTCTATACATCAGACGAAGACGTCAGACCCAACAGGCGTCCATTCTTCTAACATTTGATATCAATCTTCAGTGGAGAGCACTCGGGAATTCGAGTTTGGACAACTATCAACGCTTTGACAATCTTTCAAAAATCCTTGGGTCTTTCATCGAGGAAAAAGCCAGACTTGGAAAATTGGATGTTCAAAATGTCTCCTTAGATACAGCATCCCTACAGTTCGGCCAACTCGGAATACAATGCGAGCCCGGAAGGTATCCACGTATTTCAACAGTTTCATGTGGTAAGCATTTATTAAAAGCCGCATCAGGAATATTTTTATTCTGAAATGTCACGATAAAATTAAGTTCTAATGATATTTCTCAACCGTTTCATCACAGTACTGGTGTGGAAAATTGTATGATATTTTGTTTATTCACATAAAAAACGTTCTCAGTGTACCAGTCGACGCATGGACAAAACGAAAGCTGGTCAAAATAATTTAGAAAGCAGGTATTGTATTATTGGAGTTTCATCTTCTAACTTGTATGAAGTGACACATATGATTAAACTGGTGGCAGTATCGGTCTAACGAAAGTACAGAACTGTCCTCATTTATATGTAAGACGTGTAAGTGTCTTATCTGTCGTAGCATCCTGTCCATTGGGATCCACATATGTCCCTGCAGCTAGAAAGTGTTCCCTCTGTCCTAAAGGCATGTACCGCGAAGACGACGCAGATGTGACTTGTTTGCCGTGCCCTACCGGAATGTCGACTCACGCAAACGGAACAGTCAACTCCACCGATTGTCGCCGTAAGTAACATCATCTTTATCTTTCATTTTTTGGACTATCCAGTCTATTTAATCCCCTTCATATCCGATCCATAATTAACTTATTAATCAAAATCTTTGATTTAACCGCGAACAATATTATCACTAACCGTATCTTTTGGTTACAACACAAATAGTTTGTTCTACCATGTAAGTAACTGGTGTTGTGTATGTTTTTAATTACAGCAATTTGCAAGAAAGGGCATTATTCTCTTGACGGAGTAGAACCATGTACCCCATGTTCTCGAATGGAATATGGGCCCATCACTATGGCAACTAAATGTGTAAAATGTGGAAAGGCCATGATGACAAATTCCTCTGCAAGTACGGAAGCTTCAGACTGCTTAGGTTTGTTTGACATTTCTTTGGTACAATTTAGGCAATCAATTTACATTCGACAAGGATAGATTCGGTGAAGCATGTCAATTTTTTTTATGAATTTGCATTTGTTATGTAAAAATAACATTTATTGGACTATGAAAACTATATGAATAAATATTACCTACAATAATGATACATAGAATGTATTTATCCTAGAAATTAAATATTGATTTAAATCAACTCAGTATGATGTTCATATAATTCTACAAATGTTAAAAGAGCAATTTTACCAGGAAAGGGCATTGGTAAGAATTATCAAATGATGATGACATCAAGAACCGAATGTGTATATTTGAAGTTGACAAATATTACATCTGAATATAATCGGGTCACATAATTGTAATACCATTGATTGATAAATATGTCATTAACTGGTGACAGAGCAGTTGATGCTGTGACAGAATTAAAACATAATCGTTGTTTGTTTATTGATGACGTATAAACTACCTACCAACCTGGTATGTGATCAATTGTATATCTGTACTGTAATTATGTCTCAAATTATCTACGGTTTAAAAGAGACGTTTTACCTTCCTAACTCATCTATTGCATCTTCCTTATTTCACTTCTGTTCAATCCTTTGTCCAAATAAAACATCGAGACATAAACTTTTGTAAATACTATGTTCGATATCATGACGGAACATTAATCAGTAGAAAGCTTCACACTATTAGCAATGTGGTAGCAAACTGAAATGCAGTTTTACTCCAGTATACAAAAATGCAATGAGATTATCACAAGGTGCTTGTATCACATAGATGAAACTAAATATCAAACTTCCGCTCCTGCATGGATATTTCTTTTAAACAATTCCTTTTGAAATCGTTCCAGTAATATCATATCAAACAAACTAATATAAGGTTCTATACTATTCATCACAATCGAAACTCTAGTTTGAACTAGAAATTGTTTATCAAATGTCATGGGCTAGGGACATTAATTTTTACTTTTTATAATAACAATCAAATGACTTCATAATGTCTGAAGTCTGTTATCGATGTGTATTTAGAAAACATAATTTGATTAATTTTAACAGAATTATTCTTTTTTTCTTTTAGCTTTTGATGTTGCTATCCATGGTGGAACTTCCTTAACAACAGTGGGTAGAGTTTCAAACAATATTGTGAGTTTCACATTAACATCATGGGTTAAAATATCAAAATTCGACGACACCATCTTACAGCTATCTGTGAAAAAAGGAGCACAAGAAATACTTATTGAAATTGGGCAACGAATCAACGTGTCCTTACACAGGTGACTTGAAATTTCATTATTTAATTTGAGGCGTTAGATAACACATTCGTTAATAGGATTTCTCTTTTACTCCACCGCCGTCAAAACTGGAATATCAAAACGTTAATACCTTTTTTTTCCAATGATAGTTCTCTACAATCCAGTGGTGATCTGTTAGAAAAGGGAACATGGCAGCATGTAGCTGTTGTATGGGATGCCACATCAACTACATTGAAGTTTTATGTTCAGGGTACTGAACAGTTCTCTGCACATGTAACGTCAGTAGCTACAGGGATGACAACAACACCGGCAGGATCAGATTTGTCTCTATCGTGTAAAGGTCCTTCGTCCTCAGGTTAGTTTTATAGTTCGTGTACATCTACTTACAGATAATTTCCTTTTCCGTTCTACTTTAACTGGGTTTTATTCTGACTCGTTTACGTGGACGATTAAGTATTAACATAATTAGATTAAACAATTGTTATCGAGTTATTTCAGTTTTAGATTTTGTGATGATGCATCATGAAGGAGGTTCTTCAGGAGAATTGACACTTTAAGTATATAAAAGATTAAACATTCCTTTACAGTTGCACACTTTTCCGGCCTTCTGCTGAAAGCGTCAGTTTTATCAAATACCAACATAAAGACACTAGCAACAACCTGCTACACCAATGAAAGTGGTGATTTCGACATGGCAAATGTCTTAGAGACACGGGTTGACGGACTGGACCTCGTTACACCGAGTACCTGTGACGGTAGGTATACTCATAGTTGGTATTCTGCATTTATGTACATACATTTGTAAATAGCAAGCGACCTTTATTGTCACTCAAACCAAAGTTACATAATTTATTGTGACAACGCAGGACTCCGTTTTTGCTGTAATCTCGTTTGCTGTTTAAACTTACATAGCGCACAAAATATAATTATCCTGTATAAAACTCCGTTTTACAGCATTTTCGTCAACGATATAGTTTCTTTAGTTAATTAAGAATCGTTCATTGTTTTACCAATTCTTTTGACAATGGTAGGTAATATCTTGTAATGTTTCTTTTATCTATAAGGGACAATTAATATATTCCACACTAACATACAGTTAATTTCTTTTTTTAAATATACAAAACCGCAAAACTTTGGGTATTAAATGAATATATTGAGTTGTTTCCCTAGATCGGTGACTTTCTTCGATTACCCAACACATTGCCTTGTCTTGGTGACGCATATTAGTTTAAAACAAAAAGGTGAACACAAATCGTGAGGAGTTGTTTTATATATGGGGTGATGTAGGTGTATTTTATATACAACCTCACTGTTTTCTGACATGATCAATTCGTTCTGTTCCACATTCAGAAGATGTATCTATTTAACAACTTTAAGGGAAATTTAAAGTGAAGGAGTTTTGTCTGCTGCTCCTTTTGATCTTCGTGAGCCTTTGATTATACCAGTAACTTTCTTTTGTTCCACAGGTTTAGGGCGTGACCCCTGTAACCTGATCTTTGCACAAGGTCTATTTATGACTGCGTATGACCAAGTGTTTATTTACGTTTATTATAAATGTTTTATTTCTTAACATGGTGATTGAATTTCTTCCTCTTTAACGTCACTCATCTACTTTTACGCATTAAGAGACCCCCTCCTGCGTTAATTTCCATGTTTAAAGAACTATCGTTATATTTATGTGCATAGGCTGTAATGTGTAATTTCAAATACTATATAATATTTTAAATCAATATCATTTTTCAGCAAAAGACAATTGCCGTCCAGATCCTTGCAATGGTCATAAGTGTGTCGATGGATCAAACACTTTCATCTGTCATTGTACCGGTGGATATACTGGAAGTACATGTCAAATTCCCCCAGACTTTTGTAAGAACCACAAGTGTGAACATGGCGCCACTTGCAACAACATGCAGACCAATTACACCTGTTCATGTATGACTGGGTTCAAGGGACAGTTCTGCGAATCAAAAATAGGTATTCACAATACGGTAATGATTAGTTGTACTTCAAAGCGACTTTGTTCCGACAGCTTGCATATTTTTGAAATGAAAAATAATTTTATTCCCTGTAATTAATAAGGTTAACAAATCAAATTTTCCAGTCGATGGCAGATTTGGTCATTGGGGAGAATGGTCGACATGTTCAAAGTCATGCGCAGGAGGTATGATGGTAAGAAAGCGTGAGTGTGATAGTCCTGCCCCGGATCCCGAAGGGAAACCATGCTCAGGCCAGGCAACGGAGACGGGATCATGTAAGCCAAATCCATGCCCAGGTAAGAATTAATTTAACCTTCTTCACAGTGATTCGAAAGTAAGGGCAATGCGTGTAAAGACGATTTTTAAAAAACAATTTCCATCACCATAAAGTAATATTCATTTGGTGTGTCCAAGATGGTATGTATTACTAAATTTAAGACGGAAAATAATTACTTAATGAAGTACCAAAAATCCATACACTATATGCAAAAATCTTGAATGATTATAAACACGACCACTTCAATGTTTTTATCATAATATGAATAGTACCATAAGGGGTAAATCAAAGGACAAATTAACTCAGCTGGGTGAAAATTGGTCAGAAATCATGAAAATGTACTTCCACAGTGTGTCCACACACGCCGCGCTCCTATGGAACTAAGATGTCATGCAATAGGTCAAGCGACATGATAACTTGTAGTGCGAGTTGTCGAGACGGTATGTGGTTTACTCCTGGATTTACACCCCTTGATGTGTACAAATGTGGAAAAGAGACAGCGTACCAGTGGAATGGCAAACCTCCTTCCTGTTCACGCAAGTAACAATAGTTTAATTCAAAAGACTGAGCGTTTCTTATCTAAGATATAGCCTATAGAAAATCGCACTATAATAAGATATTTACGTCTTTCAATAATGACATCGATATGTTGAAAACCCTAATTCGCATATTTCTTTTATGAGAATACATTATACAATTAAGTAATGTCCCCATCTGCTTTTTAGATTATTTCGGAAAGTACCATATCTTAAGTGTGATGCTATGGAATTTAGTCGTTTTTCATGTTTTTTTTTTTTTTTTTTTTAATTAAATGACCTTCATGACGGCGTAATAAAAATACTAATACAATGACACTAGATAAGAAAGAGTTCGGACTTTGAAATTGTATAAACGGAGATTTACATAACATCACATTACATTTAAGTACACAATTAGATTACTTATAGCGAGTTGAAGAAACAACACTTCCGGCAATTTTAATTTGTTTCTCGATATCACTTTTTCGGACAGCTGGCATCCATTCGTGAATAGAGAATATCCCTTTATATTCTATCAATTCAGTACAAGTAAATGTTGAATTGCTGTACATAGGTGTGTACAGTCCAGAGTTGTTGGAAACTTCCACTACAATACAATACAGTTCGTCTACGCCATGTCGGGAGCCAGAGAAGATCAAAGACGCACTTATACAGAAGACAAAGAGTAATCTTCAATGTTCTCAAAACCAGACATGTGAGATAAGTGTTAATATTGAAGGTAATTTTTGTGTTTTATATTAAGGTTTTAAGCCATACCTGCTTATTTAGTAATGAATTAAAAAATAAATTTCTTTGAGTAAGCCTCAATCTCTATATAAAATCGACACTTTTTGTCTTTTCGTACCATTAGGAGGAAATTCAATTGAATATTCCAGCAATCTTATTCATCATGAAATCGTAATTAGGAAAATTTGTTTTGATGTTTTTCTATAATATATCATTTTCATATGTCAGCACATTTGATTTATTCTTGTCATTTATTTGAAAGTACATGAAAATGGTCATTCCTATTCACAAAGAGCCGTTGTCATAGTGATCTCATTGAGAAATATTCTATTTCGTTTTGTGATATGAAGTTGGGCGTGTTTTGTACCACTCAGTCTGCTTGTTGGTTCAAATTTGTTGTATACATTGCTCACTTGAATCGATTAAGGTCTCTAGTAGTGTCGTCAATGAAGAAGAAGACGCTTATTCTTCCGGAACACATACTCTAATTCTCCTTGCAGTGTTTCATCAGTCTCCGTGCAAATACTTTTTGTTCATGTTTGTCCTAATTTATTTAATATTAGTTTGGATTATGATTATGATGACATGTTGGTATTTCCTTGTTCTTGTTGTTTTTTAATACATGTATATAATTCGAAAAAATAGCATTTGGATAATGTTTTATGACAGAAAAGATTAATAAAATGCGAGTTTTCTTTTTATAATTCATTAGGTTGTTCCGGTGATCGAACTAAGCGTTCTCTTAGTGGTGTGAAAGCAATCATTACCCTCCAGGTACCACTTGTAAAGGGAGATAATCTGAATATGGAAAACTTTGTACAGACAAATGCAGGTGAATTTTTATACAAATATGTATAACAGCAGTTGACATTCGAGTAATAACCTGCATGAATATCGGAGAGGTACAATCAAAGTGCAAATATGTGGAAATATTTTAAAAATATTTCTTAACTTACCCATAATATCGGCTTTAAGTTAGTTTAGTTATACTTAATCATAATTAAAACTACTTTAGACATATCTTTCGTCCTTCACAAACCCTTACATGTACTTAACTCGACCTTCGAACGAAATTTATGATTGGGAAGTCAGAAACAAAACAGTGTCCTCTTGTGAAGGGACACATCAGTATATTGGAGAATTTTATTGCATTGAATCTATAAACAACACTACATATCACTCTTATATTTATAAACTAGTACTGCTTCTTTGTAATGATACACAACTTAATCCAGGTCGTAATCTTGACATTGTAATATCTCACCTCAATGTCAGATCTCTTAGAAATAAACTTGATATTATTGAGGCTGAATTACATGATAGTGACATATTATGCCTAACAGAAACACATCTTACCCCTAATATTCTTGATTCAGAGATCACACTTAATTCATTCTCCCACAGTATACATAGACTTGATAGAAGTACAATACCAGGAGGAGGAGTCATTATTTACTGTAAAAATACTATACATAGTAAGAGAAGGTTAGATCTTGAAAGCAATGATGTAGAAATGATTTGGAATGAAATTTCATCTAATAACAAAAGAGTATTGTTAGGTTATAACTATAGGCCAGAATCTACTGTAGATTATTGGGATAAGTTAGACCACATTCTGGAATATACTTGTAATACAGGTCTTGATATTATAATTACAGGTGATATTAATGTAAATATGCTAAATATACCCGAGAATCACCACTTAAATAGACTCTTAGTAAAGTATAATTTTGTAAGTTTAATTAATGAACCAACACGGATTACTGAGACAACTGCCACTGCTATTGATATATTGTTCACTAACAACATCAGTCTAATTAGAAATACTTCGATGAATACTCCAATATGCAGTGATCATTGTATTGTTAACTTCTCTTGTTGTATTTCTGTATTCAAAAAGAAATCATATATGAAGAAAATACTAGTTTATGATAGAGCAGATTTTGATAAGATGAATAGAGCGATTGATAGTGTTGATTGAGTATTACTGATAGAAAATCATAATTGTGAGGAATTTAATAGTATTTTAACAGAAACCATTATCAAACAAACAAAAATTATGTGTACCATGTAAACTTATAACGGTCCGACCTAATGATAAACCCTGGATGAGAAATAATATCAAACTCGAGAAATAGAATACATGCAAAAGCTAAATCTAGTAATTTTGCTACAGACTGGGCTAACTTTAGACAAATTAGAAATGAGGTAGAGGATCTTGGTAGGGAAGCTAAAAATTTTTTTTATCAAATTAGATGAATCTCTTCAAGACAATTCTATTTCTGCTAACAAGTCGTGGAAAATTGCTAAGTCAATAATGAACTCTAATAATGTTTCTACCTCTTTACCACCTCTATATGTAAATGATCAGTATGTCCATCATCCATTTGATAAGGCCGAGAGTCTAAATAATTATTTCATTTCGATTTCAACAACATCTGAAAATCTGGATCCTCTACCTCAACCTGATAATAACTCCCCTTTTAAACTAGAAAATATTACCATTTCTGAGCAGGGCATCAAAGATCAACTTCTCTTACTTAACGACAAAAGAACTCCTGGTCCTGACAATATGATACCTAAAATAATAAAAAGATTAACCCCCTCATTAGTACGCCCTCTTACTCTTCTATGTAATAAAACTTTTGAAACAGGCACTATACCAGCATCTTGGAAATCAGCTGATGTTAATGCTACTTATAAAGGGAAAGGCTCTGAAAATGATGTATCTAATTATAGGCCCATATCTATCACATCTTGTTTTAGTAAAATTATTGAAAAAGTAGTTTTTAAATATATGTTTAATTACCTAAAAGATTGTGAAGTAATTACTAAGCATCAATCAGGCTTTTTACCAAAAGACTCTACTGTAAATCAAGTATTGGAAATATATATGGAACTATTATAAGTAATTTGGATAAAAATAATGAAATTAGATTTGTATTTTGTGATGTTAGCAAAGCGTTCGATAGAGTTTGGCATGAACGCCTAATTTTAAAATTAGAATCATATGGTATAAGTGGTAATGTTTTGAATTGGTTTAAAAACTATTTGTCTGATAGGAAGCAAAGGGTACTAACTGAGGGTTTTCATTCAACATTTAAACATGTTAAAGCTGGTGTCCCTCAAGGCTCAGTTCTCGGTCCATTTTTATTTTTGGTTTATATTAATGACATAACTGACTGCATCACAAGCAAGTTTAAGCTGTTTGCTGATGATACATCAATTTTTGAAGTGATTGAAAATAATTCTGGTGAAATTGCACAGAAATTAACCTATGACTTAAGCAATCTAAATAGTTTAATCCTCAGAAAACAGAATCTTTACTTTTCTCAAGAAAAAGGGAACAAATTAATCCTGATATACTGTTTGCAAGTGATTCAGTCAGCTCTGTCAAGATTCATAAACATTTAGGTTTAACTTTTAGTAGTGATGGTAAATGGTCTCACCATATCACTAATATATACAATAAAGTCCACAAGAGGATAAATATTCTTAGAATGCTTAAACACAAAGTAGACAGGAAAAGCCTAACAACTATATACACTGCCTTTATTAGACCAATTTTAGAGTATGGGGATGTCATCTGGGATAATTGTACAAATCAGGAAAAAAACTTATTAGAATCAGTTCAGTTAGAAGCACTTAGGATAATTACTGGGTTAAGAAGGGGGACATCTCATTATAAACTCTATGCAGAAACTGGAATTGAAACTCTTAGTAATAGGCGAAGCCAACATAAACTTCTTCTTATTTATGAAATTCTGGGAAATGAAACTCCAAGCTACTTACGTAATATTATTTACCCTTTTGTTTATACGGATGAGAATGTAAGATATCCTCTAAGAAATACTCGTTTATTCAATCATCCTGTTTGTAGAACAGAAAGTTACAGAAATAGTTATTTCCCATCAACTCTAAGTGATTTTAATATGCTCCAACCTGACTTAGTAAACATTAATTCAATACAGAAATTTAAGAAAGTTATAAAGCCCAATGTAAATAATCAAACAGATGCCATCAAAACTTTTAAATACACAGGACCTAGAAAATATAATATGTTATAATGCCAGCTTAGAAACAATGCTAGTAACTTAAACTCTGATTTATTTAATGACCATTTGCTTGACACTTCAACATGTATATGTAGTCATGAAACTGAAAATGCTCAGCACTACCTACTTGAATGCCCATTATACACTGACTATAGAAACCGGTTAATTCAAAATATAGCTGAAATAGACATACACCTAGATCATGACCACTTAAACATTGAAACTCTTTTGAATGGTTGTAAGGTATGTAATGCTGACATCAATTTAGCCTTACTTCATATAGTATTTGAGTATTTCCATCTTACTAATAGATTTAACGTATAATTTCTCCATTTAATCTTTCTCCATTTAATTTGTATCTACGGATTACTGAAATAATACCTGATGTATGTAAATCAGCAATATCAAGTGTTTTAATAGCATTTCTGGCTGAAATTAATGAGCATTTGAAAGTATTTTTTGAATATATTCTTTAAATTCATGATTACTACTTATACTTATGTAGCAGTAACTAATTTGTTAACTTATTATATACTTAACTATGTTAAGAGGACCAACTCCAATATAGATGAAAAAAACTGAAATACCATTTTATAAACCTCTCAAACTTAACCATGATCTTACCTATCAACATAGTAAATGCAGAATTGTTGATAAGTTATTATGCATATCCTTGGGTGGATGGTCGAGGTGTTTATACACATGGACTTTATGACCTGAATCCCTGGATTCTTGCATGGTAAATTATCAGTAAACCTGTATTATTTCAACTTATTTATAATCCTATGAAATATAATCTGACATAATGTACTACTTCACGTTCCACAATAAATTGGAGTTTCCTCCCTTTACCGGTTATATCCTAATTTAATATATACAATATTTTACTCACTGGATTTGCTTGCAGATAAATGTAATGTATTTACTTATTAATTCTGGAAAGGACTGATATAGGCTCAGCCTGTTGTCCAATCCGTTTAACATATGGAATGTTAATAAAATTTTGTTGAAATTGAAAAACAAAACAGTGTACCGTTATATTGATTCATTTGACGAACGTATTTTAATGGATTGTAGTGAGTCCCGCCATGTTAAAGTTACTGAAGTCCGTTGCCGACCTGGAGACCTCGGTCCAGCAGCTGAACACCACTAGTGATATTCTGAAGTTTAATGTTGATGGCAATGTGTATGATGTTCTTGCGGTTAGGTCCACAAGCAGTGTCACATGTGAAAAGGGCAAAGTCAGATTGGAGGCATTATGCGGTATGTAATTATAAATTAAGTAGGTCAGATTGGAGGCATTGTTTGGTATGTTATTATAAATTAAGTAGGTCAGATTGAAGGTATTATGTTGCATGTAATTATAAATTAAGTAGGCTAAATTTCAAGGAATATTCCACCTTATATGCAAGCAATACAGTTATGGTAAATATCATGGTAAATGTGGCCACAACACAATATTGTCGTTCATGTATGTGTTCATCAACTGCCGTGGGTAACTACACCATATCATTTCCCAATATAAAAATCTACTTACTTGTGTATATTGTTTAAATATCATACCTACAGTTATGTCATCTTTAATTCAAGCACTTTGCACATTGTATCTTTTGGTTTGGTTGACAGTATATCTAATCAACTTCTATTAGTGCTAAGATGCTCCGATAGGTGTTCTGCTTTTATCGTTTTGTGTCATCAATTATATCTTATGTTGGATATAACGAAACTGCTTTTTTATGTACTCAATTCATTTTGTTACAGATAGAAAACACTCAAAATAGTTTTGCATACGAGTTTCACATAGTCTATTGAGATAATTCATCATATTTGGGTGCCCAATTCCTATTGTAGAATACTGTACAATAAAATTATTCTGAAATGAAATAATTCATCATTTCCATATAATGTCTTAATTCATCGTTAAACATGTCAGTAGTGTAATACCAAACTTGAAATAAAATACCTCCTTTATCTACTTTAAGATACATACTTTTATGTAAGATGTGTACAGATAACCTTCTCTATCACATAGATTTTATCCAGAAACTTCAGTTTCGTCCCGTTTTAATACTCCTTTTATAAATGCATCCGTCAAACGAGTGTCACTTACAGAAACGTTTTTTTCCGAAAAGGTGTGAAATAGCATTTACACATTTTTATCTTAAGTTACGTATCGTTTGCAGTTGACTGCCCGCAGGGCACATACAGCGCAGGCCGAGAAAGTTGTCTCCCCTGTGCGTACGGTACATACCAGGATGAAACGGGTGCCCAATCATGCAAGAAATGTCCCAATGGGATATCAACGGCCTTCATAGGGTCGGTGGCGGAAGCTGATTGTTCAGGTTGCTACCTTGTTATTTTTGTATATGATTCAATAATATATTACTTATAGATATGCAAAGCACATGTTGATATTTACAAGAGAAACATATCATTTGATTATAACACAACTGAATTTACGAACCTACATTACAAGTAAGACATCCCAACAACCTCTTCATTCAGCTATGTATTAACGTAATAGATATTTTGTTGAATGCAGTGTGATCGTGTCTCCGTTACGTTTACACGTAACTCCAATAAAATTGGCAGTATTCAGTACATTCGTGTTAATAACCGGCGATGTGTGATTTGAAAACAACAAATTTGTATTTTAGTCACCGTTCCGATTGAAGACGAGGCAACTACCAACGGTATGTCACATTTAAGTGTTTATTTCATATCAATTATTTAATCAATTTTTAATCAATTTTGATGACGTCAGCTTTGTATACATAATACATTAGCACGGACATAGATTATACTTATATCAAAGCAGTAACATTTTTTCCCAAAAATACTTGTTGATGTATAGGAACACATTATAAAGCTGTACTTTGGAACGATATACAGACATATTTCGTCCAATACAAATGATATTGAATAGAAAATAATAGAACATTAACTAACATATTAGTTTCATACTATTTTATATAACAATGTACTCCAAAATTGGCAAAAATTAACTATTACGATAACAGATAGTTTACAACGCTGAAATGTATTTAATAGTATTCTATCCATGTCTCTTGTATATTGATGAGGATTGTTTTACCTACTTAGATGTTAACTAGAATGTAATGATTCTGTGTTCACCAGATGATGATGGTGATAACAGTTTAGGGATCATCATCGGCTGTTCAGTCGCCGCTGTTGTGCTTTGTGGAATTATTTTAGGAATCGGTATCCGTTATCACCTCAGGTAGGTTTTTCTGAGCGAAAATTACTATAAGCACGAGAGGAGGTTTATACATCTCTCATCGCGTCATATACACATTCAAAGATTGTGAATTAAAATATCAGCGTGTAATGAATTCTAATGTGACCTATTAATGTTTAGTCGTAATAATGACAAAAATGAAAATTAAAGCATGTAAATATTCATATAAAAAAGGAAAACCAATACAAAATTTCCTATAAATATACTATTAGAATACTATTACCACTAAACAAAAGCTTGAGGTTAGGTTCCAAGACTCCGCCACCAAAACGCAGATCTGAAATTTCGGTTTCATTCTTGCAACTGATTAAGTGTAATTAAACACAGGTAATTATACAATTAAATATATTTTTTTATACCCTGGATAAGTGTTGACAGCCTTCATATATGTGCCTCTAAAGATTTTTTTTAAATTAATAAACTTACAATTACATGTCTTAATGCATAAACGAAAACGTAAAACAGCCAAAGAATTTAATTCACTACTAAAACGTTATTAACAAAATTACGTCACTAGTACAACTGAGTGCTGGGGTTTTATTTTCTGACTATTTAATTATTGAAATCATTCTTCAGGTTATGATACTGAATATGAAATTTAATGCATTTAGTACCACATTTATATGCAATCATTTAACTTCCATTTAATTTACAGATCGAAGGCAAGGAATTCAAAAATGGGAAGCTTCGCCAGTATGAATATGGTGCAAAGTGCGAGGCCACCTCAAAATACGTTTCTGACCTGATGAAAAACCTGGAAGTTGAAATTACCGATAGACTGTTGATTGTGATATTTGTTTACAATACAGCTGTGATATCTAGTTTTGTTTGTACTTCTCTAGCATGTTATGTTGATTGAAAAATGCGAGAATTTAATGTGTGAGTAGAACCAATTTAAAAAATAATACGTTGTGTTTAATACTATGTGATTTATATATGTTTATGTATATATGATTGTGATTGTAGTGTATTTTGTTTAAATTTATGTATTGTTTGTATTTGTAGTTTACATACTACGCTTCTACATATTTCTTTTCTGCTGTGTCTGACGTGAAATGCTTGTAGACACATATCAATTTCTTAAATAGTGATTCATATTATGTAAATAATGTGTATTTCCGTCCAAGCGTTCTTCCTTAAATGTTTATAGATGTTGATCGAAGGTTTTACAATAAAAAATCGAAAGTAAACATATTAAACGTGAATTATTATATGGCATACTACACCGTGTCTCTACAGGATAATTACATTGGCTTGCTAGCCCGTTCTCTGCCTTTCCCTGTTTGGAAATGGGTTCCCAACAAGTTAATTAAGATACGTCACTATTCATACTTTTGACACATTGAAAGAAGTACTTATGTATATTTTATGGTAAACAGTAACGTGATAAACAGTAATATATGAAGTGGTAAACAGTCTAACTATCTAACTTTTTTTCGGTTACATTTAACATGGCAAACACTGATATCTAACTTGGTAAGCACTGATACATTACATGTTAAAGATACGTCAACATTGAAAACAAACATGATGAAATATTGATCACATTCATTGGAAGGAATATTGAATTCGATCGGTTTTCTTTTCAGTGTCAAGTTTAATACCAATGCACATGTATAAAAAAAATCTTTAAATATAATTAATATTTGATGTGGACCGCAAAAATGTTTGAATAAATATTGATGTTTGATTGTTTTCTCTTCTTTACTTTTAGTTTTTTACTGATAGGCTCATCAGAATTTTTTGATTTCATAGCTTTATTTGACCGTAGGATTAGCAGATAGTCATAGTGAAAAGGTTTTTTTTTTCATTTTCACATACCAATATCGACAAATGTAATTAATCAAATTAATATCTAAAGCTATAAACATTATTTGCTGATAACAACACCACGTCCAATGGGGAAATCAAATTCTAGGCGCCAAGACGAAAGACGAATGCGTTATCATTGCACCATCCAACCTCCCGATATAAAAGTTGAATACAAGCCACCCACAATATTCATTAAATACATGCATGTTACCTAATTGATATACATAAATTAATTGTATTCAATCATAGTATTTTTTCTTGCTATTTTCAAATTAAAGTTTATTGGTATTTTCTTGATAAAAGGTTATCATGTCTGAATCATTGCTTGTAAGGTGATTGCAACACAGTTGAGCGCCTCGGGGAACAGGAAGACATAACGATAAATAATGTCATAAATAGTATTGATGAATATCTGTCATACGAGGACTGCTGATATCGTTAGTGTACACAACAGCCTCGAAATTATTTCAGATATACTAAATGAAGAAAAGCTTTTATTGATAAATTCACATATAAGCAAAATTGATACAGATAAGTCGAACAGGGGTGCTTCTTGCTATATGAGTTTATATTACCATTCATCTGACGACTGTGTGTTATACGAGTTTGAATTATCCTTCAACAGGCGAATGTGACAGGTTGCTATATATATAGGAGTCTGCATTATCATTCAACTGATGAATGTGTGCTATATGGATTTGTTTGTTCTTTAAAAGAACGGCTGCTATACGTTGTTTGTATAATTACAACCAACTGCCGAGCAGTGCGAGTTTGTCTTATCCTTCAACAGATGCCTGGGTGTTTTATGAGTTTACATTTTCTCGCATCTCAGACCGGGATATCCCACGTAATACCACTTCCTAGATTTTTCTCTCTCGCACAATCTGTCTAGTACCCTTACTTGCGTTTCCGCGGATTTTTTTGCGCATCGGTGTATTCATCCACTTGTAGGAGTATATATATAGAATATCGGTTCAAAATTTACTACCTGCTTTATATTATCTGTTTTGGGTATTCTATAAATGTTGGTAATATATAGATAAAAAAAAAACTCACATTTTACAGTAAAGAACGTATTTTATCTAAAATTATCATCCCTATCAACAACTGATGACTAGGTGAAACATCTTTAAAATTGACAGCTGGATGTTATAACAGTTGACACAGTTACCATAAACTGACTGATTGACGATATAAGTGTTGCTGTCAACCTTTGATTGCCCGGCAATAAAACAAATGAGATACATTTATGTAACTATACTGCCAACACTGGGATTATTAAAAAGATACACAATGACTACGATAGCAGAGATTAATCCGAAAAACAACTGAGGTGAAAATTGAAATCGTCAGTGGATGTTTATATTGGCGGGCGCACTTTGAAGTTCGCCCAATAAAGGAATGATGACTTCAATATCTGCTGTTAAATATCACCTCACAACATTTTCATTTCAACCGTGATTGACAAAACGAGACTTAAAAACTTCATTTCAAAGATGCTTGATAGAAGTTTCGACTAGATTTTGAGTTTATTTTACTATATACTCCTATTTTGATTTGCATATGTTAAAGCTACTTTAATTCACTAATTCTTAAGAATTAGATAAATTTTAGATCCTTTCCAAATTAATCCAGTTTGTGATATCTTTATTCTGATTTACATACATAAAATGTTATCTCAATTGTCATAAATGCTGAAATGCGAATTTAAATTAAAAACTCACACGAAGAAGATATTAAATCAATTAATTTAATGGAATGATAAAAGGATTCATAAAAAACTAATAGATAAGTCATTTTATTATGATTGTTCCTTAACCTAATACCATGTAAAAAAAAGGATGCGACACGTGGAGGTATCATTTACATATTAATGTTATGTTGATTGGCATGTTCCGGATTAATATTTAACTCAGTCTATCCTATTTAGTTAACTTAAGTCTGATCTGACACTTGACGTTTTGCTTATCCGATAGTTTGAAAAATCAGATGTTGAAATATCATATGACTGTAGTTAATGTAAGTCTTACGTAAGAATAATAAATCAATATTTCTTATGGACAACACAGAGTGTATAATAAGACAGTATATGACGACAAGAGCCTCAGGGATTTTATATACACAAATAACACATGTCAATGATGCTTCATTGTCAGTTACCTGTACGCCACCTTTTTACCTGTAAGAATCGTCTTGATTGATGACAATGACTGTTCTTGCTCACAATCAACCGACCGTGGCAGTTTACTTTCACGTGGCTAGAGACACGGTATGGTCAGCTAAGACAATATGATTACTAGAGTATCATTATGTCTGTTTTGTACTCTAATACAAGTTACCTACTCGGAACTATTTACATCAATGGATTACATATATTCCGCTATTAGAGATGCTAGTCAAATTTCATTGAGACTGGATGATTATATTCAGAACGAAGAAAACAGATTGGCCGCACTGAAACAGTAAGTAAATATTAGATTCAATGGACTTTAACACATTTCTGGTTATAACTAATTAATATGTATTCGTGAATACCTTAAATTATTTCTAAAAGGTAATCTTTCCACAAAGCTCACTTGTGTGATAATTATTATAAATGCACGTGGTGCTGTTCGTTAATATCAAGATATCAAATAGATAAACCACGACAGGTACACCTAGCCCCGAAGCACCGATCTAATAGACATACTTATTGTCTATGTCACGTAATCAAGGTAGTTAACCAAATGCTTCAATATTGTCGACCAATCCATTGTTAATGTTAATGTTTCCTGCCTTCTCTCGTACACTCTCACCTACAACCACACTAGTGCATGTTTTAGATGTCAGAAACCTTTAAAGGATAATATTTTAGCTATGCATTAAAATTTCAATGTAAAATTATTACATCAAAACACGGAAAACTTTAAAATACTAGGGAATTACCATGTATATTTTAATAATATTAACGATGCAAAATTCCTTAAAGACACATGTCCTATTTCTTATAAATCTGAAAGCCTCCTAACTATGATAACTATTATAGAGGGTATGATACTATATTTTGATACCGTGACAAGTTATTCTACATTACCTCACAATGATAATTTTATAGAGAGTATGTTCTGTAACGTTATTACTTTTATAAAACACTCATTATTTAAATTTACTACGGTAACATTAATAAAGAGTTGGCTACTTCCCCACAGTATTGTATCATTAAGATACGATACTTTACGTAACTATGGTAACGTTTAGGTATGATTTATCACCTAAGTTTAGTATCAAATAGGTATGATCTTTCATTTAACTACAGGAACATTTACGTATGATACTTCACTTTAATATGGTAAAATTTACCTATGGTACTTCACCTTGATATAGTAACATTTACATATGATACTTCACCTTACTATGGTAACATTTCTGTATGATACTTAATCTTACTATGGCGATATCTGTATATGATACTTCACCTTACTATGATGCCATTTATGATACTTCACATGACTATGGTAATATCTATTTATGATACTTTACCCTTTAATGGTTACATTTGTGTAGATACTTCACATGACTGTTGTAACATTTATGTTTGATACTTCACCTTTTTATGGTAATGTCTATTTATGATACTTCACCCTTTAATGGTTACAGAATATGCTACCTCATCTCACTTTAATAACTTACATTACTATAGTAATGTTGCAAATTGGGTATTTTCTGGTAACGTTTATAGACAATATTCTATCTTATCATTGTAGCTTTTAAGCAAGTACGTTGATGTCAGGTATACTAGTATTACATCACCTTACCATTTCCCCATTACTACGGTATAATGAGAACAGAAAAAAATCATATTGCGAGAAGTGTTTTCTTTAAAGTAATAATGACTCAGTTTTATCAATCAGTAAACATGTATCTGAAAACAAAATCATCCTGCTACTATAAAATC